AACGCAAAGAATTGATTTTTTTTCGAACTGTTCTCTTGCAGTAACTGGAAAAGCCTTGATCTAATAACTGTGCAGTGGTAGCAAGATTTTCTAGTAAGTCCACTTTTCATCACAAGTGACAATTTTTTGGTAAAATCATGAATCAGAAGGATTTATAGATTTTTGCAAATCTTCTCTCTCAATGGCTTAAGCTCGTGTGATACCAGTTTATATTACCCATAGTGTGAAAGTGTCAACCCACTGTGTCTTTTGACATTCCACTCTCCTTGCCAAGATCATGAGTACTTGTGGACGAACTTGACCCTACAGCTTGCTGAAGAACCTCATCAATCTTGTGCGAGGGTTACCTGGAGTAATTCTTCCTTTCTAAGGACTCCACTAGAAAATTTTTAAAACTAACGCCTCTCAGTTCGCTCGTCAAGGACATCTTCAGTTTTGTTGATTTCATGAGCCAATAACAACTTTTGAACTAACGCTTTATCAAGCCAGTCCATTGTTAATAAATAAACTTAGATTAGTGTTAGAGATACTGCATTGTTGGTAAATAATAAACAGGATTAACGTGTTTACAGTTCTTGGCATCCATGCATTTGATAAAACAGTAATTTTTATTTTCACTTATCTATATATGAAATATATAGTAGAAGAAAATATTACAATTGATAAAATTTTCGAATCTCAGTTTTCAACAGAAAAAAAGTTTTGAGGTCCCCTGAGTCCAAATAACCAAGTACCGCAAAATGGTCTGTTTGTATGTGTATATGTGTGTTAACAGTCTAGCTCAAATATCCTACGGAAGTGAAATTGCATATTTAAGGTTTTTATATGACAGAGATGTTACAGCAACTTTTTCATCAAAATCAGCTAACCGGAAGTGGCACTTTGTATAATGGACTAAACACATTTTTATGATTATCTCGAAAACCTCTCTAACAATTTTGATTAAATTCATCATGTCAGTGTAAAATTAAGCAGTTTAAAATAAAATGTGGTTATTATTCTGATTGATGTTCTCTAACAGGGCTTAAATGGCTAATTTTCGATATTAGCTTCCTCTAAAGTACCTTTAATTTTTTTTATTTGAAACAGTTGACCATTTCACGTTAATCTCTAATATAAAAAATAGTAAAATATAAAATATGAAAGAATTTAATAATTAACTAAAGGAGAAATAAGAGATCGTAACAGAGAATAGTTGTAATTGAGGAACCGAAGGAATGCGAGCGCACCCGAGCTGTCCCAAAAGATTAGAACACGCTTCCACACGTATCAGTAGCTTAATATAATACGGGTTCCGACAATATTATATTAATATACATATGTGGTTTTCATAAATACTATTTTTGGTATTATTTAACATTTAATTGTATAGATTACAGCGATATAAATATTAAAATTTGTATATGTGAGGGTACTTATACAAATAAAAATGCCCACAATGAAATATAAATAACTATAGCATCTATAATTTTTACTTTAATTTCGTTTTATCATAAAATACTTATTTCTGCTAAGAAGAGGGTGGTAAGTGAAAGTTGTGTGATTCTGCACCAGATTTTTTCTTAAGTAGCCTATTAGTTATTAAGTAAGTCCTTCAAACTCTAGAGATGATAACTAGTTTTAGAAGAAACATTTTCTGTTTTCTAATTAAGAAAAATGAGAAAAAGTTATTTTCACTTTGTCAACAAGCAAATAGGCATAGTTTTGCTTTAAATCATACGCATTTCATGTGCAAAGAACCTCTTTTCCTCCAATTATAACATCCAGTTCAGTCAACTTATCAAGTAAATGAGATGCAGAGACCACCTCAGATCTGCTCTTGAAATCCCCTTCCTGTATACACAGCCTTCCCTGATAGAACCTTAAATTAATTAATTTTTCTGTAATCAGTTTGAAATCCATTTCCTTTCCAGCCTTAATACAGGTGCCCCTTATATAAAAGAATCCTTGTTCTATCGATTTTCTAATTCATTTTTACGATTTGAAGAGAAGCCGGTCTAAGGTACAGTACAGTGTAAGTAAACATACAGTATATTATAATAGTAGTTTTATTTTATAGGTCTTCATCAGGGCATTTTATCTAGCATTGCTGCAAGAAGCTAGAAGACTGATGGTTATTTTTATGATTGTTAATTTCATGTGTATTTCTTAAAATTTTATTGATGCCTTAAGTGTTTTAGTCTGTGGGCCAGACCCTCTTACCATGCAACCCCCCACATCCCTATAAATTGCATATTGTTGTGTTCCTTGTGACAATTTATTAAAAAAAAAAGGCAATGTTCCCACAAAAAAAGTGAAGGAACTGCCACAAAATGGCGTCCAAACATGGCGGATTAATGACTTTGACTTTAGTTAGTTTTTTTGTTACTGAGAATCAGCATTTAGCTTAATTTCATCATAGTTGGTCTTATTAAAGCTGGATAGTCAGAGAATAATAAAACGTGAAAAAATATTAAAAACTAATTGGCTTAGGCAATAAAAAACATCGGTAAAGTCAATTTTTTTAACAAAAAAATTTTCAAGTTGAAAATCAAGCATCGTTTGTAATTAAATGGCCGACAATAATGCAAAATGTGCAGAAATAAAACATCTGGAAAATACATTTCTCTTTCTAAAACACTGATTACTTTTTAAAATATTTGAAGTAGTTCCGTAGAAAATGCACTTAAGCGGCAGAATAGAGGTACTGGCATAGGTGCCTTCAGGCCTCTACCACACCACTCAGTACTCATAAATGGCTTAGTTGTAGTGCTATAATAACGTTTTTGTTATATTATATTGATTGAATTAACGAACAAATATTAATACAATAATTTAATTGTCAAAAAAAAATTTAATTTATTATTATTTTTTTTTTAAATTTAACTTTCTTTATTCTATACGGAGGTCGCTTAAGAAGGCCTCTATTATAAAAATAAAACATTTTTTATTTAATGTTTGCAATTTAAACTTTGTTTTATATATTTATTAATTCTTATAGATAATTTAAATTGTATTGAATATTTAAATTGAATTTATACTTCCCCAGAAATGAATCATATTAATACCTGTTTTATAAACTAAAATAATATATACCTAATCTGAACTACTTCTAATGAATAGGTGATGACAAAAAGCTATGGCTGCGTGGCGGTCAGAAAAAGTTTCTTTAATTAGATAGGAAAATTTAAGAACCTATGAAATTTAGTAAGCTATTCAAACACAAAGTTACAACTTATAGTGTATGCGTTGTTTCTCATAGAAAGTTCGTTTCAAAAGGAAGTCTCAATGTGGCCTGAGGGCCGAAGAGTTTGTAGAGACCCCTAATTAATTCAGTCATATTGAAACTATTTTCATATGATATATAAAATTTATTGTATTAGTCATATAAATTCTCTCAATTTCTAGTACCGTAATTAATGCTTCATATTTACATTTTATCATTTGCATATCAGTTGTTATATCTTAAGTATTGAAGCACTGTTCCCTAAGCGGACCCTACATGGTAATTCATGAATGAACGTCACAAGAATGGCAAAGATTGCTCGGGATCGCTTTGATCATGAAGACTCCTACATGTTCAATCATTACTTATCATTGCTGAAGCCAATTTAGCTCAGTTGTAAACAAAGAAACAGCATAGATATGCTTATTTGGACATTGTCATTTATAATATTGGGCATCAAGAGAAAAATGGAGATATAATAATTACTTCCTAGTGCCTGAAAATCGTTTAGACCAAAGTTAGAAAAATATAAGTCAACTACATACAAAAATCTAGGAAAAGTATTGCGAAAATAATCAATTTGTTAAGAAAAATGGAAAAATTAATGACAAATAAACACAACAGTTAAAGATTTTTTTTATATAAGTAAATTGTGAAGTTTCAACTTTTTTTTTTCAATTTATTGCCTACTTGACTAATAAAGAAAAAATAGTTGAAAATGGTTAATAAAAATATAAACTAAGGATATAAACAACTATTTACTTAAAAATGAGACCTAGGTAAACTAACCTATCTAGTAGTAAAGTTAGTCTCATAGAAAATCGTTTTGACAAAAGTTAGTAAAATATAAGTCTACTACTTACAAAAATTAAGGAAAGATATTGCAAAAATAATAAATTTGTTGAGGAAAATAACTGACAAATATATACAACGTTAAAGATTTTTTTTTCTTAAACTAAATTGTTAAGTTTCCACTTTTTTTTTTTAATATGTTGCCCACTTGACTATTTAAAAGAAATAGTTGAAGATGGTTTATAAAATATAAACAAAGGATATGAAAAATTATTTAAATATTTACTTTTAATGAAAATCAGAAATTTATAATGGTTGTGAGGCCTAGGTAAACTAACTTATCCAGTAGTATGGTTAGTCTCCCCACTACTTTTATCTCAGTCCCCCCTCCACTTCTCGTGAATAAACCTTTGATTTCCGGATGTTCGGAAATCCGCCACACACCACCATCAGTACTTCATTCACTACCTTGCACGATTATTCGGAACGTAATTAGTGCCTCGGAATGCAATTCCGTATGACTGTGTAGGATCCGCTTAAAACTTAAATATAAACAAACTTTTAACATCCATTAAGAAAATTAAATAAAGTGTTATACTGATTAAATAAAAAAATAAACAGGTACTTAAAAAAAGGTAAAAATTAAAACAATGAAAAGGCAATATTTTTAATAAAATAATCCTTAAATTAGAACAAATTTTGTACACATAAAGAAAATAATAATTCCAGCGACACTAAAGTAATATTTACAAAGGTTTGCAACGTGTACTAATCATTTATAATTGTACATAAATATGAAAATATATATAATATATTCATATATATATTATAAATCTATATATTACATTGTACAAATAATACAATGACAACAAAAACTTAAATAATTTCATCAACAAGGTCGGTAAGATAAAATATATGTATATAAGTTTAAAAATTAATTACAATCTAAAAAAATATAAATTATAACTATATCCATTACATGCTAAAACAAAATCAGTCCAATTTATCGCTTAAATCTATTTCCCTTTATGAACTGTAATGCTTTCTGCATCAAAGGGGCTTTTTTCTTTTTCACTGAAAAAAAAATTAATATTTTACATTATATACACAATGCATAGATTAAATTTGAAATAAAAAAATATAATTAAGTGGTTAAACATATTGATGACTTTCAGTGGAATTAGCTGAACAAATATTCACTTATTAATAAATACTGAAAAACATCCTGGAGCACTGATAGAGAAAAAATTTCTTCCGAGATATTATTATTAGTTAAAAATATAAGAGATATTACAATATAGAAAACTGTAGGAGTTACAAGATATTTAGATAAAAGATTAAGGAAATTATTAACGGAGTAAAAAATGTATTTGGTTTTATATTTGAATGTTCTGAATACTTTTTTTATTCTGTAATAGTTTTCCAAATTTTTTATCTAAATATCTTGTAACTCCAATAGCTTCCTATAGCCTTTGTATCTTGTTCTTTCTAGGCTGGATGAAGACCTTTATATTAGGATTGAAACTTGAGCTTAATATAATAAAGTTTTTTTATTAAAGTGCTACCAATGGATAGATTCTCTTCAAGTCTTTTCATGCTAAACAGCAATTTTCAGACTTGAAACGTATATATTTGTTGCAAACAGCATTTTGGAAATTTGACCCGATCGCAATACTTTTCTTACCTAGTATAGGTATTAACGCATGTATAGAAAATAAATACGCTGTATCATCGCTAATACTGGTTTGATTCCAATGAATATTCATTCATTTAATTATCTTTCAAAAATTTTCATATAAATTTTACCGTAAAATACGTACTTAGTGAGTTGGCTCCCAAAATATTTTTCTTTTCTTTATAACTTTTTTTCCTGTATTTTCTCGAGGATTTAGCACATGTATAAAAATTGAAAGGATATTAATTAGAAAATTATAGAAAAATTTCATCAAAATCATTAGAGCTGTTTTAGCACTACAGTCTAGAGAAAAATATGTTTTTCAATAATTGCGTATGGAGCACCCAATTTGTCAATGGCATCAGTAGTCAAAACCCTACAAATTGAAAAAAAAAGCAACAAAATCGCTCCACTAATTTCCTCCATAATCAATCTTCCGAATATATGTCAAAATAAAGTTATATGTATTTCTCTGTATCACATTTACTGGATGTATATTAATTTTTTTATAGTTGTAAATTTCATGAATAAAAAAAAAAAAGTTTTTTTGATGACTGCCAAACTGCATCATCTCTTTTCTCGCTATAATTTATATTTTACTTTAAGATTAAACTGGCAATGAAATAACAGCTTCAATAACCCATGAGTATGGTGGTACAACGTTATTTTTTTTAAAATTTCATACAATGCAATACAATACTATCCCAAATGCAAAAGGTCTTGAAATGAAATATATAGCAAATAGGACAGCACAATACTTACAGACAGCAGGAGTGGAATGGTGAGCGGCCCTGGGCGTCGGAGGAGGAGGGACAACATCCTTAGCTGAAACGCCAGGGGTATGCCCGCCGACGATGGCCTTACTGACAATGTCCTGCTTGTTATTATTTGGTGTAGACTTAGAACTAGAGCTAGAACCTGTCCCATATTTTGCCTGAAAATGACAATAAATTATCATTTAAAATTAGTACATAGTAATTATTTCTTATGTCAATACATTAAAAAAAATCTGGTGTGTTGACTCACACGACTTTTCTATCTATTTCAGAAAAGTTTTTATATATATTTAAATATGTCCATTAAGAAATGAAAAAAAAAAAAAAATTGAATTAAAGTTATTTTCCTTAAAACTCATCAAAGAAAAGATTTAAGTATGATTTCATAGATAAACTAAAGCAATATAAACTGGCTTGTGGAAGATCAGTGTAAAAAATTCAATACACTCTAATATTGTTAATCAAAAACTTTTTTACCTTATAGCCCAATTTTGTCAAACAATAATTTCTGTTAAAAATCGAGAGAAAACTTATGCGATGCGGGCAACATATTTTCTTACTTTCAATTCTTTTTCTTTCTTTTTTTTATCTCATTCACCGCTTAAACCTTTATTCTTAGGCACGAAATTTACGAAGTAACTTTGTTAATAGTTGCCAGAAATAAACGATTTATATATAGTTTTGTAGGGATTTTTGTTGCCTTTTAAAAAAAACAACAAGCTAATCGGTAATTTTGGACTCTGACACGTATATATTTGTCAAAAACCGCATGTTGGAAATTTGACCCGATCGCAATATTTTCCTTAGCTAGCTAGTATAGGTAGGAAAGTAATACATGTGTAAAAAATAAAATACGCTTTATCATCGCTAATACTGGTTCAATTCTGATGAATTTTTTTTGTTTTGTAGGTAATTTAATTACCTTTCAAAAGTTTTCATATAAATTTTACCGTAGAATACATACTTAGTGAGTTGGGTACCAAAACATTTTCTTTTCTTTATAACTTTTTTTCCTGTATTTTCTCGAGGATTTAGTACATGTATAAAAATTGAAAGGACATTAACTAGAAAATTATAGAAAAATTTCATCAAAATCATTAGAGCCGTTTTAGCACTACAGTCTAGAGAAAAATATGTTTTTCAATTATTGCGTATGGAGCACCCAATTTGGGTCAATGGCATCAGTAGTCAAAACCCTACAAATTGAAAAAAAAAGCAACAAAATCGCTCCACTAATTTCCTCCATAATCAATCTTCCGAACATATGTTAAAATAAAGTTATATGTATAAAGATGTCAGCTACATTATAACGATATCTTACAGATATGTATGGTATGTGTCATATTGCTTATTTGTACAAATACGTGAACTCACCCGTATGTATTCATCTTTATATTCATATGTCTTCTTCAAGATCACATATTTAATACAGTGTCTTTTCTTTATTTTAATATTAAGGTTAGACAACTTTGTAAATTAATTTATTTTTAACTGTCATTTAATTATTCATAATCGTCAGATAATTGTCATTTCTTTGTTTATTATAATTATTCTGCGGGGACTAAATGTCCCAGAATAAAATTTACTTTCTTTAAGAAAAGCAATAAGAAAATCGCGCTGGATCAAACCCCAGCCTTGCTTCATTAAATAATCAACTGTGTAATGGCTATTGTGGCGTGATATTACTTGAGGTTCTAGATGCAAATGAGCTCTTATTTGCACTATTTCTACCGTGTATAAAGCTTATTATATCTTAATGAGTTGAAATATATCTATTACTAGTACAGTGTCTATTATGGTACAGTTACCGTAGTTGTTAAATAATTTTTTGATAGTTATCTTGTCTTTCTTCAGACCTGATGAAGGTCTGAAACTTAGGCTGAAATGCCAGCACAAAATAAATGTTTTAAAATTGTTATTTATGTTTCTCACTTTAGATTTTATAATTAAATCAATCATACCTGCTTCCTAGCGACATTCCTTGGTGGTTTCACAACAGCATCGACGTAAGCCAACTTTGCTTGTCGGACCGGAACAGATTTGGCCATCGAATGAGAAATATTTGCCGTCACAGCCTTCAATTTCCTCTCCCTCTCTTCGATGCACCTCTAAAAAAAGGATTAGAGAATCACAATTTTGTACATGTTTAATCTGTCATATATTAGTTTTATAGCAATATTGATTGAACAATGTTGAGGTCAATACAAATTTTTATCAGAGAAATAATAAACTTTAGGCAGTTATAATGTCTCAAAATAGTTTTAATGTCGATCAAGTTAATTTAAAAGATTTCATCTCCTTAAAAGTCATTATTTGCAAAAATTCAAGTAGAAAAAAACAAAAAACAATTAAACAAGTTGCAATTGAGGTAGTTGCAAATGAATTTAACATAAAAAAACTTCAACTAGAAGTATTAATAAAAAATATACATTAATAGTCCATGGTAGACCCCTTTTTATCGAATTATTGACATCCGCTTGAAACTTCATAAATAGCTTTATCTCATCGTAACCTAAAACTATTTTATTTATGAAAACTCTTGGAATTGGGGCATTTTCAATCTGAAGGAGGGCAAACTTTTTCTATTTAATCAGGTACTAAAAAATCGTAAATACCCATTTGCTTTCTGCTTGGATCGTAAGATAATGGGACAACAAAATTGATAAAAATAGTGGCCTTCAAAAGTATTGAGCCGTTTGGCGTGACCTACACTCCTAAATTTTTAAAATAACGAGGTTATATAGGACAGACGACCCAATGTTTTACTAGGCCACCTTTTTTTTATTGATTTTGTGATCAAATTATGCCACGATCCAAGTAGAAAGGAAATGGGTACTTACGAATATTTAGTACCCAATTAAATAGACAAAGTTTGTCCCCCTCCAGATTGAAAATGCCCCAATCCAAGAGTTTTCTTAAATAAAATAGTTGTAGGTTCTGATGAGATGAAACTATTTACGAAATTTCAGGCATATCTTAATAATTCGATAAAAAAGGGGCCTGTATCATAGACTATAACAGTTTGATACCTTTAACTTTAACTCTTTTTCTTTCTATTGAATCTTCCTTTCTGCACTCCCCTTTTTTTTTTTATGTATTTCAAAATTTAAAGAAACTGGTGAGTTAATAACAGAAACGGTTGTTTCAAAAGAAAAACAACAAGAAGTTCCAAAAAAAAACTATATCCAAAATATTGACTAAACAAAAATATCAGATGTTTATTGTTTCAACCTTTCTTCAATAAAAAACTGATATTATCTGGTTTAAGGTAATCTGAAAAAAAAGTTCCTCCTAAAACCCGAGAGAAATTTGAATATCAATTTCAAAAAAATAAGCATAGTATCTTTTGGTCAATTCCGTAAACATTTTTTGACAATTTTATAATTAACGAAACAAGAATGTAGAACATTTGATTAAATTTGCAATCTGCAAATTTCTTTGCAATGAGCAAATTTTTTGGCAGCTTCACAGCTTCCCATGACGTCCAGGATATCAACCAGATCAGCAGGTTTCTTGGCCAATGCCTAAGTAATCTTCGTAGTGGGCTGTATGGGTTTCTTGTACGATAAAGAATTTCTGTCAGGGGATTCATGTTGTACGTCAGTCTTTGGTAAAAGTTATTGTATTTCTCCTTTGCAGTATCTAAAATTGTAGGTACGTTTAAGTCTTTATGTAGTGTATCATTTGTGACATGTATCAGGTGCGTCAACTATCCTTCGCATCACTTTTGACTGAAAGGACTGAACTTTTTTAATGTTGGAAGTTTTAGCAGAACCCCACAGTTCTATGTCGTAAATCCAAATAGGTTTAAGTAAAACTTTATAAAGGGTTAGTTTGTTAGTTAAAGATAATTTTGAACGTCTGTCAAGTAATCTGGATAAAAGACCGTATCGTCTGTTTAATTCTATTCGTTTTTGTCTGATGTGAGTCCTCCAAGTAAGTCATTTGTCCAGGTAAAAACCTAAATACCTTAAATACCATAAATATTTAAAATTAAATAAGCATGGAGAAATTTCTACAGTAGTTTGAGATTTTTTTCTTTTTTGTCTTGAAAATAGAAATGTAGTGAGCAATTTTAGTTATCTCAAGCCATAATGAACTGCGTTAGAAAGAGTTATCCAGATAAGCTTAACTCAGTTTTTATCTATAAGACACAATTATGAGGAAAATTTTATTTGATACGAGATCATAAAAAAAAAGTGTATTAAACCTACTAAATAATTACCAAGTACAGGTCCCTCCACGACTCCAAATCCTGCCGCTTTTGACTTCGGAAGTCTTTGGAGCAGTGAAATTTCCATAAATTATCAGTGTCTTCAATAAGGTAAGGGTTAAAATGTTCGATGACGTACAATTGATCAGAATTTAACCTCTCCAGCAAAGGCTTTAGAAGATTGTAGGGTACTCCTCCGGTATATTCCACAGCTAAAATAATAATATACAACTATGAACTATTTAAAAACAAAAAATTGCATATTCAAAGTTATAGTAAAATATAGTTATATAATATGCAGAAAAAATAATAATTGAAATTTAAAACAAAAAGTTAATTTCAATCAATCTCAACAAAGACACAGTGAAAATTTGTTTCTAAAATTAAAATACAATAGTATCAGATAAATGTATTTAGTTTACAAATAATAAATTGAAAAATGAATATCTTGTAATAATTTTAACATACTTCTATCATCCCATATCTCTAATAAGTACAATTCCATAGCTATAAAAACAATTTTTGGGTTTGTATGCAAACTCACTTGCTGATTAAAAAATAAATTTAGAGCATTTAAAAATGAAGTCAAATTATTTTCAAAAATTAAAGATTACTGAATTTTTAAAATTTTACAGTTAAAAATTAATTAATGTTTAGACAAGGCAACATAAAAAGAAATAATAAATAAATATTTTGATTTATAATTAAAATATAACAATTAATTTTTTATTGAGTACTCCATGGTTGATTAAGGTATAATATTGAGGAAGGAGATGGTCCTATGGTAACAGTTATAAAAAAAGTTATTTTATTTTAAGCTGAAAGTTACAATGAATAAAAAATAGATAAAAATAAATAAAATAGTTTTTCATTATTTCAAGTTTTTTTTATGAACATTACCCTGGACCATCTCTTTCCTCCATATTTGTTTATATGTTGATAAAGTGTAATATGAAACATTTGTTAACAAAATGGAAAAACTCCAGATTAAAAAAAAACACTACACTAACAACCACACTGCAAAAGCCTGTAAGTGCTATTTATAAGACAAAAAAAAAAATGTGTATTTCTTATTTCATGAAGTAGAGTTTCCATTAAAATTTTATTGTATGTTAAAGATAAAGATGCAATGTTCTAAATAACATTTTTATGAATATTCTGAAGCCAAGATTAACCGTCATAGGTCAAAACTGCACATTCTAATTAAATGGTATTCACAGACTTTTGCAGTATGTCTAGGAGTGCCAAAAAGGGGTTTCATGAATTTTTAGAATGAATAGTTTCAAACTAAGGACAAGAGGAAAACAGGGGACAGATCACAGCAACTGTAATTGTATAAAATCTATGATCTAAATTTTACTTTCATTTGCACTGTTATTAAAAAGAGGAGAGAAATATAATATCTTGGAAAGGAAAGGGGGTCTATGAGCCATCGACCTTGGGAGGGGGGATGGGCACCCCTGAGTGTGGTTGTTGATATGTATAAAGTTTTACAATTAAAAGACTAAACTTCTGATACATTGGTCTGCCTTTTTTGTAGCTTTGAGTTTAGCAGAGAAAATTAAATTTTAAAAAATAAAGAAGTTATCCCTTTTTGTTAGTAGACGCCTCACATGCATCAATCCATCCATTGACTAATCATCACTTCAAAGTTAAAAACATCATAATTTAGATGCTTCAAGAGAAAATATTTGAGATTGGAAGGATACATTGACTACAATTAATTAGCTGGTTGTAACCTAAGTTTCCTCAAGAACTTCACAATTTATATTTTGTCACAAAAAAAACCCTCAAAACAAAAAATTTTGCCATGGTAAGTTTCGATAAATTATTTGAAAAAGAACACTGATAATAAAATAAAATAAAGACTGAGGTTATGGTCAGGATGAATAGAGAAAGACTGAACAAGAACATTTTTGACAAAGTTTGCAGCTATAAAAGTATGGGGGGATATGTAAAACAAATAAAAGAGGAACTAGACAGGCTAAAAATCACAGACAAAGATTGTTTGGATAGAGAGCTTTTTAGGGAAAAACTGAAAGGGGTTGCAGTTCTTGTAGGTGGGAGAGAGAGACGAGGGAGAATGGACTAAGGAAGTGCGAGAAAACAGTCCAGGAGGACGAGAAAGTATTGGAGTAAGAGGAAGGCTGAGGGTGTGAAGAGGAAACGGAAATGATATTCGCGTGGTCCTTGCTGGCCGGTTCGTGTAAAAAAATAAAATAATAATAAAACAAACTAAATTGTCATAAGAATAAAAAAGTTATTGAGAAAGCATTTGGATTTGTACCAACATTTTTCATATGAAATATGCATGACAAAATAAAAATAACAAAATGAAATTTTTATTGTCAATAATGAGAAAAACGTTAACAAATGTTATCATATGTTAAACCCATATTATAAGTTAGCTCATTTCTACAGTGGTAGCATATATGGTACTTGTCTAGAATCTGTTCGGGACGAAACCTCCCTTCTTATCTCATGTAAACTTTGAGTTATTCTATTGTGAGAATTGGCATCTTTAGAAGAAGAGGTTATCAAATATTTTCAAAATGCCAGGATAATTGCAAGGGTGAAATTATGTGAGAAGGTCATGAAATGAAGTTGGATAAGTTGAAATAAAGTTGGAAGAAGCAATGGAGATGCTTCCGTACCATGCTTTTACGATGCTTCAAAATGCTTTTGAATTCCCATAAATCTGACATTTCTTTTTGTCTATTTCAATTTCCATAAATATGAATATGAAAATAGGGATTAAAAATGCCTTATCACAATTATCAGTGTTCAGGTTATAAACATTGGTAGATAGCAGTAAATTCCGACGGAATTCTAGACAAGAACCGCATATAATATGAAATAATTTATATAATTTCTAGGTATGTATTGAAAAAATTACTTTAACCTAATGTAATGTAACTTTAACCTATCAACCATGAACATTATATTAATGGCCATTATCAATTTATATTTTAAAGATATTAATCATTTCATCTAAAAAATTCAAGATTAAAAAACAATAGATATAAAAAAAAAATAATTGGTTAGCACGCAATGACATACTTTCTAACCAAAGGTATAATATAACCATAAAGACCATTATCAATAAATGGTTATTATTTACTCAAAGGACTTCCAAATTAGGGCTTGGCAAAGACCTGTAATTTATCTGTTTGGTGAAATAATTAAACAATTTTAAAATAGGGATGTTTTTAAGCCCATAAAATTTAAACAATTACTTTTTTTTTATTAAGTTATATATAAGGTCTGGTGTCACGGCCGACCCTTATTGTATCGTGATTCCCACAACAGAAATAAATTAATCAAAAATGACTTCATCAGAAAAAAAATTATAAAATTATATTAGTCTTACCATCTATATTTTCATATAATAACTGAATGCACAAATTAAAAAGTGTAGGAACTGTGTTGGAATAAACTTTATTCCCTGAATAAACTTTAGTCCTAAAACAAACAAAACATATAGAAAATCAACAAATTATTCTCAGAAAGAAACAATTAAACATTTCAGCAAACAAAACATATAGAAAATAATTATATATATAAGGCCTTCAAACTTCAAAGCACTGATTATAATTTTTTAAGAAAATCATAAATTTTGCATTAATAATGCCTGATGGGCCTTCGTGTGGAATAAAACTTAGAAGAAACAGAAAAAATATATTGTATTTATTGGAATATATAATATAACCACAAAGTGGTTGACAAAAATACTTGAAATTTTTTAAATTCTTAATATCATATCTTTAATTGGCTGATATTACTTTAAGAATTGTACTCACCTCTGATTCTTTGTAGTCATAATGGAAAACATGGTATCTTCTTCTGACATTCTAGACTGTCTTCTAGATGATTCTGGGACGGGCGGTAGAGGCTTATAATTTGGATTAATTTCCGGAAGAGTACTAGAGATATCCAAGTCTAATGCTTCTAATTTCACTTTTTTTGTTAAAAGGTCTGGAGTCTAAATGGAAAAAAGAGAACAATATTAATCGATAAAAACGAAATTATTAATTATTCTTTTGGTTTTAAAGAACCTATAATCTAAATGTTTATTAATATCATTGTCATATATAATAAACTAAAGGTTTTATATTTTTAATAAACCAGCGTTGATTGTAGTTCTAGTTAAAGATAATCCAATAAAATATTTCATAATGTTGAAACATTAATCTGAATTATAGAGAAGTTAGTATGAATAGAATAGCTAGAACAGAAGGAAATTGGAAACCAATAGTAATGAAAGCCAGCAAACAAACTATAAAATAATGAAACTGATTAAATGGAGACAGTTGTAAGGATCCTAAAAAAATAATGAATTATGAGCCATTGGAATTTGGAGTATATCCTCTCATATTTTAAAAGTGAGTATTTAATTTTTTCCATTAATGTCTCCATAATTATATTATATAATGAACCAGTAGGCCCGTGCGAAAAATTCGCACAGCATATTGTTAAATGATCAAATGCCAAATTAATAAGAAAATAAAATAATACAATGTATTAGAAGATAAAGAAATCAATTGCTACTTTATCGATAAATATAATCGACAAAGGAAACAAAAATTAATTTAAAACTTCATCAATGTTTGGAACCAACAGATTTCAACACGCTGTATCTTTGCTAAAAACTGACCGATTTCAATGATTTTTTTTTTCGTTTTGTAGGGCATTTAGTAATCTTTTATATAATCATGGGCATAACCAAGGGAAAAGTGCATAATTTTTTATTGAATATTTAATAGTTGACCGTTGCATTATAAAGGAAGGAGATGGTCCGGGATTGCGGTCATAAAAAGGCTAAATAGTGGTAAAACTATTTTATTGAAAGCCAACGTTTCGACCCGACTTTGCAGGTCTTCATCAGGGAGGTGTGTTCATCTAGGAGTTTCACTTAGAACTCACTCAGTTTCAGTCACTTCCTGCATAATTTTTTAGCTATTCGCAAATAAAGTTTCTTAGAAAAACTGATAAACCAACAAGGAATAAATTTATGTTTTCTATAACCTGAAGTTTTTAAGAAAAATAATGAAAACCCCCAATGGGACTTGCTTTTAAAACTTCTTAAGTTGCCTTATTATTATTCTTAGAGAAAGAAACTTCTCAATTAAGGGGCTGTGGTTCGGAAGTAGGGAAACCATTCCTCTTAATACAAGCGATTTCTTATGGAAGCTAGGTGTTGATTTCTTCATCACCAAGTATATTATTGATCTATGCCTTTATCACATGCGTTATTCTGAACACTGTTAGAAATATTTGCTATATATTGAAATGGTATCACCTAACTTTCATTTTTTTAGTTGGTTCAAATAATATCTATAGACTGATGAGTATGCTATGTGATTTAGCAATTCAACACAGTTGAGCGGGCGTGCAAATATTATTTTATTCTCTTCTTATGATATAATATAAATAATAATATAATATCCTTCTAACATAAATTTACAAAAATCCTGGTGATAAATGAAATAAAACCATATGAGTGGCCTCATATTAAAGATAGGCATCTATCATTTTTAGAAAGTGGAGAAAAAGTTAATTTTTGTTTAAAAGGCTCAACTCAAACTGTTTCTGATGATTAAATTTAAGAATGTTGAAGTTGAATCATGATAAAAAATCATTATAATTGGGTTAAATTGGAGCCATGTTACATATATTTTTTTTTTCTTTTCAATTTCGATATGAGGCCACTCACATAGTTCATTAACATAAATCAAATTTAACATAGTTTTTTTTTTTTGTTCTCCCCTTCCTTGCCTTTTAGGCTATGCAGGGTTTTCCCGGTCCCTGGGAGAGGGCGGGGAATTGTGCCGAGCTAAAATTCCCACCGGGTACCACAATTTGAACTCGTACTATTTTTATGTTTAAATCCGTTCATTACCGGGCAATGCACATGCATTAGCCCACTTGGCCGCCCCATTTATCAACATGCTTATTTAACATTGACCATAAAGAAGAAGGAGTTTAAAAGTTAAGGAAATTTATTAATGAAAATGAAAACAATCATTACATGACTCACCTCTACTAATTCATCAATGGATTTAGGTTTAGAAGAGCTTTCCTTTGATTTTTCTTTCGAACTATTACTGCTGCTATGAGAGTGCGACCTCTTATGGCTACTACTGCTAGTTTTTTGTGATGATGAAGTTTTATGATTTGAACTAGAAGAAGGCTCTTTCGACGACGACTTCTTTTTTTTCTTTGGCTCTACAAAACTGTCCATACCTAACAAAGCATCAGCAAAACTTGCACCTGCAATAATTCAATTTAACAAAATTAAATTGATTTCATAATACTAAATAATAAGCAATAAGACTAAAATCCTTAATTTCCTTTAAGTTCAAACAATTATTGACTTTATAGACTTTCAAGTATCAAAGCTATCTTTCTAATAAGGGAATATAAACTATTTTTTGTCCTAATATGATTATAATAATTTCCAAATTCAAAGAAATAAAATAAGTTTTCTCAAAATAACACTAAAATTTGAGGCAGATTTTTTCCTATAGGGGAATAAAATATATTTCAGTATACAAAAACTTTCTGGAATTACCTGATCCACTGTCTATACTTCCATCTTCATTTCTTTCAACTTTAACATTCTTAGTAGGAATATATTTTGGCACTTCAAACTCATCTTTTTCTTTTTTAACTTTTTTCTCATTTTCTTTAATTAGTTCCTCTAAATGCTTTGAAGATGATTTGGAATCCTTAGAAGATTTTTTACAAGAATCTCTACTGCTACTTTTATGGCTACTATGATTTTCTTTGTTCTTATCTGAATGTGAATGACTAGATTTAACGTGTTTATGAGATGAAGACTTATGCTTAGAGCGATGCCTGTGATCACTTGAACTGTTATCGGATTCTTGTTCTTCTTCCTCTTCATCTAATGTTGACAATCGCTCAACGAGTTCTTCTTCAACACTAGAATTTTCACTTTCTTCAGAAGATTCTTTTTCTGAATCACTACTCGAATCAGCAGGCTCACTCCGATCATCACCACTTTCATTGGCTTCCTCTTCCTCTGATTCAACAATCTCCTGTTTTGAATGCGAATGATTCCTTGAATGTGAGTGATGTTTTTTATGTTTCTTTGGACTTGGTGGGGTATCCTCATCAGAAGTATGCCTCTTTTCATTATGAGATGATTTGTGATTTTGATGCGAACTACTTTTCTTTTCTGAGGTATGGTTCTTTTCAGAACTTGAATGAGATCTTTTGGTTGAAGACGAGTGGGACCTAGATGAAGAATGTGATTCACTATGATGCCTTGACGAACTATGATGGGATTTCTCTTTACTAACTGAATTATCTCTACTACTAGACCTATCTTTACTGCTGTGTTTATCTCTACTACTCACATGTTCTTGCTTTTCTGACTTTAGTTCAGTTTTTACAATAGGCTTTTCCGATTTAGGTTCAACCTTAACGACAGGTTTTTCATATTTTGGTTCAACTTTAACACTGGAAACAGATGATTTACTTAATTTACTATCTGACGAGTTAGATTTTATTTTGTCATTGGAATCATCACTTGATTCTTCAGCAGCCACCATTGCCTTCCATTTCGCTACAAGAGCTTTGGCAGCTTCTCCCACTTCACCTTTGTATTTCCTCAATGAATTTACACTTCTTCCAACACCTGTCTCTTGTAAGTGAAGCACTTGAATTGGCAAAACATACAGTCTTTGAATGCATCTTATCATCTAGAACAAAGAAAACGGAGTTATTAACATTATATGAAGATGAATTTAGTTATTTTCAAGAAAAGAAAACAATAAAGACAAAAAAAAAACTTCATAGAACCACTATTCAAGCAAATTACAAAAAATACTTTGAGGTGACTGGTTAAATAATCATATATTATGAGACAAATTACTTACACGTTCTGAATTTTCGGGGCATCTTTCAATATCCTTCTGATAGTGCCTAATCTGATCCACCAAACTCTTACCAGACATTTCAACTAAGAAACGTCCCCAACTGACTAATAACCTGACATCCACTCACGAACGGTCACCACAAGAGAAACAAGGAAGCACTACTTTCCCTTGAACAGCTGTTATTGAAAATAACCCACCGCATTGGCCGAAAATGGTTTATTAAAGCTATATTTCGGTTAATTTTCTAAATTTCAAGTTTCAAATAATTCACATGGCTAATATTAGTATATATGGAGATGTTAATAATAATAACAAGAGCTATTCGATATTAGTGGAGGGGGGAGAGAGATCGAGAGTCTCTGTGGCAACAGCTGATTGAGTCCGCGAACTGGGGTAGGGGTTCCTATTAATGTCAAGTGAAGTTTAGATCCTTCTGTTATTATTGTTCCTTCTTTCACGTGGCAATACAGAGGACGAGTTTCATAAAGGTAAACATTGTACTTTTGTTTTCGTTTGTCACTTGAGAATTGCAGACCAAATCAGTAATATCCTAACTTTGTTCCATTCTGATGATGTGCTGTACTTTGATAAGAAATCTTAGATATGGCCGTGAAAATGATTAATCAATGATATCGACAAAATTCATTAGTTTTTATTTCATTTTCATAAGCTTTACAACGAGTTTAATCACTTGAGTACCTTCAATTATTTTTTCAAGTGAGCATCAAGTTGAAATGTCAAACTTGTCAAGCTGGATTACATATCTCATTACAGTTTTACTTTTTCCAATTAATTCTTATTTATATATATCAAAGTAGTTCCAGTCTATCTTAATTCTTTTTTTTCCACACACATCATCTTTCACATAACTTGTTAATTTATAAGCTGTTACTATTATACTGTCATTCTCTAAATTTCAGACAAAATTATATTGTTAAAACTAATTTTTACATTATTTACTACATGAAATTTTTGAACTGTTACACATTTTGAGTTTCATAATACATTGCCCTACTTATTAGGTAAGTCTACTTGAGTGAAGTTTTGTATTTTTCTTGAGTCGAGCTGTTTTATCAGTTAAAGTGACTTATTTATATAAATGTTTAATGTTTTCAGATTTTGTCATGTAGGCTCAGCAAGAATTAGAGAACAGGAATTTTGACTATGGGTTATTGTGTTCAGCAGATTGTTTCCTGGTATGCAACATTTGTTTGGCCATCTTTCTTTTTTTTTGTATCTAGTTTATAATATATGCTTAAAAAGGTATATTGAGCTGTTTTATTTTTTACAGGTATCAAAAGAAAATTGGAACTTATGATAAGCAAGAATGGGAAAAGACTGTAGAACAAAGGATTTTAAGTGGTTTTACTCATGTGCCAAAGAAGACAGCAAAACTCAAAACAGAACTAATAGATGTAGACCTTGTAAGAGGTGTGTAGGAAATTATAATTAAATATATGGTATATTTTTAGATTAAAGATTTTTTAAAATTTGTTTTCCTTTATTAATTCTTATCCTTGAATTTTTTTTATTTGCTATTTTGGGAACACGACAAGAGCCAAGTTCACTAACGTTTTCTATGTTAATAATTAATTATCTATATTCTAAATTTTATAAAATGTTAGTAAAATCAGTAATCAAAATGTTTTTAAATTTTCATGATTTTAATATCAATATCTCTTTTTAAAGTCATGTTAGTGAAAATTATATGTAAATAATGTTTCTTCTGTTCTTTATTTCAACAATTTTTATTCATTTATTTTAGGAATTTAAATATAAATTTGATAACAAATATTGAATTTATCATTATGTATTGTTTACAGATTTATTTTCTCACACTCTTATTATATGACTTGTATTTTTTAAATATTTCTTGTTTATCACGGTGATAAAATTTCCATTTGCAAGTTGGATTACCAACAGGATTCTAATTGGATTATTTAACTATAACTTAAATTGGGGATTCTTTTTTTTATTAAAAAAAAAATTCAAGTTTTCAATTTGTATTATTACGTTCTATTGAATAACAGCTATTATTAATCTTAAGTAGCCTTTTAAATTTAGCCGTTATCAGAGCCAGAATATATACCTACAAATTATTAATAGAGATATTGCTTGTATTTCTTATCTCTATCGATTTATTGGGTGATAATATGATTAAGGAATGTTGATACAGCAGGAATTACTACTGTATCTTAAATTTAAATGTAAACCCATTGAGAATATATTGTTTTAATATTTCCTGTGCTTTCCAAAAGTAGTGTTGTTATTAAATATGAAAAAAAGGTCAATTTAGAAGCATTTTTAATGGTGGAAAATTTTTCCTCTCTCTCCAAGGTTTTTTTTATTTTTTTGTTTTATCATGATATATTTTTAATCCTAACAATGTCAGAAACATATTTTATCTAGAAATTAAACAATTACTTCTCGATACAGTTCAGATATTTAAAACAAAAAAGTATTAAAAATTAGGGCCATCCTGATTATTCTATATTTCCTGTTTTTCATGTTATCTCTGAGCTGAAGAGTCAGAGGCTATTAATTTAAAAAAAACAAAACATGATTTTGTGGATGTTTTACTTCCCTCCCCCATAATTATTCAGTACTTCTCCATTTAAAAGCAGAATAATTTTATATGTATTGTTTATCATTGTACCGAAATAATCCTTGCATAAGATATAGTTAATCAAAAGATTACAAAACAATATAAAATGTAATTGTGGATTGATGGTTGATTGTCATGAATAATAATGGTTGGTGTGATCAGTCAAAAATAAAAAGGCAGAAATAAATAATAATATTTATTTTAACATTTGCCGACGTTTCGACCTGAAGTTCAGGCCTTCATCAGGGCTAAGAAAAGAACCACATAACAAGGTATGAGAAATATAAACAAAGTAGTTAAAAAAATTAAAGTAAAATGAAGTGGGTAGAATAATGACAATAACAAGAACTAAAAAATAAATAATAACTGTTACAAAGTGTGGAATAATGAAGTAAACATAATCAAAATAAGGTGATATAAGTACTAAAATGGTAATCTTAGAATAAAATGTAAAACAGAAAAATTTTAATTTTAATATTTATTTTTATTTATTTTATGACTTCATATTCCTTTTTTCTGTTTTATATTTTATTCTAAGATTACCATTTTAGTACTTATGTCACCTTATTTTGATTATGTTTACTTCATTAGTCCACACTTTGTAACGGTTATTATTATTTATTTTTGAATTCTTGTTATTGTCATTATTCTACCCACTTCATTTTACTTTAATTTTTTTACCTACATTGTTTATATTTCTCATACCTTGTTATGTGGTTCTTTTCTTAGCCCTGATGAAGGCCTGAACTTCAGGTCGAAGCATCGGCAAATGTTAAAATAAATATTATTTTTTATTTCTGACTGATCACTCCAACCATCCTTTTCTTCAATATAAAATGTATATACCAAGAAATTGATAAAGAAATATGTTTGAATACATTTTATCATAGAGGATGTGGCTGCAACAAAAGTCCATACTCGAAATGTTAACAATATATGGTTATTTTCTATTAAAAATAGTAAGCACTAATACTGCTATTCAAAACCGCTGCTAAATTATTTTTTCATGGGATGGTGCTCTTCTGCTAAATGCTATCCATTTAATCTTGCCTTTCCTTAGCACTAATAACATCCAAGATATTAATTGGAAAAAATGATTATTTTTTTATATTTCATATAATATTCTTTCTATTCTGTCCTATTCATATAATATTCTTGCTATCCTCTTCAATTTAGGTTCTTCATTTACCAAAGCGAAGCCAAAGGGTGGGCTTATGACCGTAACTCGACTTGGCATTACCAGATTGCTATTCCTTCCTGCATATGCTGAATGGTGGTGTTCTCAAACCTCTTCTAAGCTCTTTGCGCTTCTCCTTCTTCTTTATATACTTCAGGTTATAAATACTTCACTCTATTTTCTCCTCCCTGAAGAAACTATACAGGTTTGTATGTTCTTTAATATTGTTTTATTAAGCCCTTCCAATTTTTTTATTAAGAATATTTTATTTTTTAAAATTTATTTTGTCGCTTCTTTTTTAAGTTAAATTGTTTTGTTGTTTTTTTTGTTTATTATTTTGTTTGTATATTAAAAAAAAAAAAAAAATTAAATGGCAGTTAAATACTTTGGCTAAATTTTAGGAAAACATTTCAGTAATTGAAAGTAAGAATTAATCATGAAAGATAATTGCAAAGAATTTTATTTTTCGATTCTTTTTTCATTTTCTTCAAAATCGAACTTTGATTAATCCCAGTTGTTTGTATTAATTTAAAAAATAAATAAATAAATAAGAGAGTAATCAATAAAGTAAAAAAGGGAAATAAACATGAAGACCTGGGCCTGGGGCTAGCGAGGCTAGGAAAGTTGCATCACTGTTAAATATTTTCAGGTTCATCACCGGAATATTATGTCATTTAAAGAAAAGTATAACAAGAGGGCGGAGACAGATGTCTTGTTCAGGTTAGGTGCTTCTCACACATTTATTGGTAATTATTTTTAATTCAATGGCCATATAGTAATTTATCATTTTATTAGAATCATTATTCGGACTGTTTTTTCCATATTCTTTGTATATGCATGCTTAATTCATTCTATGTTTTTAATTTATTCTTATTATTTATTTTATTTTATGAACTCCAATAATATATTTATAAAGCTTTATAAAGGTATCATAATAAATGGCTTCTGATTTTGGCTTCAGTTTATGTTTTTAATTATATTGTTGAGGATTGAAAAAAAAAAAAATTGAAATAGAGTAATAATTTAATTATTTTAAAATTTAGTCCAGTTGAACATATTTTTTCTCTTTTATTAGTGCACTGTCCAAAAATATGCATTACTTTCTCTCCAATTATTCTAGCATTCTTTCTGATAACCAAAACACCATTAATATCTGATTACTTTCACCTCTATATAACTTTCAAATATGATGATTATCCTCACAAGCTTATCAAAAAAGTATCTAATTTTTTGCATACCAAGTATAATCAACATATTTTAACACGTTAGCTGCGATTACATTCCCCGCCATCTATCAGATATAAAGCTTATTTACATTTGTATCTATCTTTACATCTATCCAACTACCATTCAAATATTTTTAAGAATGACTATTTTATAGACTTCGTAAGATAGGCGAAATTTGAAACGATCCCAGCCGAAGTCGAGACAAATATGGGAACTCGGGGACTGTAAATGCAGCTGACGTGTTAACAAAAATATGTTATACATAAATATATAGTTTGTATAATTTAAAATTATATCTACAATATAATAAATATCCTTTTTAATTTTTTTTTCTATTAACTTTCATAATTGGTTCAAAGAGGTTCGACTTTACTTTTTATCTTTTACTCAGCAGATTTGGCTTAAAAAACTTATGAACAATTATTGTTATATGATCTTGTTAGCAATGTAGAATTGTATATTTTGCAGATTTTGCATTCTATCTTTTGTATTATTATCATTATTTGCCAATTGCTTCTCTGCTGATCAATTTACATAATAATATTTTCTGTAATTATGGTAAATATGTTCTGATTCTTTAAATTATTTACGTATAATAGTGATTTTTTTTTAAATAAGTAAAATATTTGTTTTCAATATTGCCTGCATATAAATAAAAGAATTTGTTATAATATAGCTTATACCTGGAAGTGAGGTTGCAATCCCAGCAGCTATGATGGTATTGCTAACTATCCTCCATTCCCATATTGTATCGCCGCGCTCGGCTGGAGGGAAAGAGCTTGCTCCGTTTGACACCAAAGCTCGCAGGATCAAGAGAACAAAAAGGAGGGGTAGGCTTAGTAAGTTAACTAGTTATGTTAGATGCTGGGAAGTTTCATGTATTAATATACAATTATTTCATTAGATTCTATTTTAAAATTTCACAAGTTGACTTTTGCAAATTAGTAAGCTTGTTTCATTATTTTATACATTGTTTTATAAATTAATCATGTTATGATTTATTAAGGCTTTATGGAAACAGTAAAAGGATATTTTAATCTTTCAATTACAAGATAATAGAAGCACAGTACTTACTCACGTAGAGTTTTCCAGATATCACTTATTAGATTATTTTGGTACCCTCCGACACCAAAATAGTGATTTATATATTTTTTGCTTTCTCACTTGTATAACTTTATTCGTGTAGGAGGTTTAAATTTTTTTTTTTTTTTTTGCCTTATCGAAGTGAAGATTATAGCCCTTCTTAGAAATAAATAATTATTCTTACACTGCAGAAATTTCTTACTCTTAAAAAATTAAAATTGACTTTTTAAGTATATTATTATTGATATATCTGCTTTATTTTTAGAGTTTTGTTCTGTTTCGTTTGCAGGTTCAGATAAGGTCTCAGATCCTTCTGCAGCGTATGGAGGCTTCCCCGAAGCTACTAGTAAATTTAGCAAAAGAGTTAGACTGAGAAAGTAAGTTAAACTTAACTCATATAATCATTATATAAACTTAATGAAGGCAAAACAGTCTGTCCCGTCCCTTTTTCTCCTCTGTTTCTTAACTGATTTTCTTCTCTTATTTATTTAGTAGCTATTGACAAGCTTCAGTGTTTGTTTTTATTATTTATTTTTTTGTCCTCCCATTCCTTGCCTTTTAGGCTATACGGGGGTTTCCCGTGCCAGAGGGTGAGGACGAGGGATTAGTGCCCCTCTTGGCACCAAGGGCTTATAAATGTTAGTATTATCAATGAAATAAATTTTGGAAACAGTGTATATAAATAAAAATGTAAATGTTAGCTTGTTCAAAACTGCTAATCTCTAAAAATTCACCGATCGTTTTAAAATTTTGATACAACGTTGCAATCAAATTCAGGAGTGTTTTTATTTTCATTCCATTGTCATCGGGCCTTTCATTTCAAAATGGCAGCTGAAAAACATGAGTCACTGTAGATTATAGCACTAAAACAGCTGTCTGTAACAATTTTAATGAGACTTGGTTTAAGTCTTCTCCTTGAAGTCCCTTTAATTTATATATAAAACATGGATGAATTTGAAATTTTATTAACAAATAATTCAAATAGTACATATATTTTGGTTCATTAAACCTATGAGTATTTGAAAGCTTCCTGAATTCTCTACCAAATGAAAAAAAATGTCATCGAAATCGAAAAGAATCATGTGCGATAAGATATTTTTATTTCTTTTGTTTTTTCAGTTTACATTTTTAAGGAGAGCACTATTATACCAAATTTGTATAATGTATTTGTAAAATAGCAGCTATAGTATGAGTACAATTTGTACTAGCTGAAGGAGCAGAGTGGCTTCAAGTATTTTTCTAAGGAGAAACCAAAATATTGGTATTTTACACATGTAAACATTCTCAAATACAAATCTTGAAAGCAATTGAAAAATGAATTTTTTTTTTCTCAAATTTTATCCGAATGTGCAAAGAAAGTGGTTTCAAATATTTCTTTGAAAAAAGTAATGACGTATTTTAATTTGCCAATAAATCAAAAATTATACAAATGGTACTGCACTATGGTACATATAAATGTGAATGTACAAAAAATATATAAGAATAGAAAAAAAAATTTTGGAAACAAGCAAATTTATTTGTGTTTTCCTCAAATGATCAATAATGATAATGGTCGGATGATGAAGTTTCTTTTTTTAAAACTTAAATAATATTATTTGCACACAGGTTATCTTTTGAAGATAGTTCTAAAACAACAACAACAAGGAGGAGGAGGAGCGTGGCTTGGGATACTAGTCCTTCAAAACTTCATCTAAGTCTTAACGAGTCTGTTAGAAATCAATCCCCAGAGCCGCAAATGTAAGATTATAAATTTAATTATTTTTAGAGATGAGATATTTGTTGATTATTTTCAAGGTTTTCTCGGATAATAAATAATCAAGATTTTCAGTCATAATATATATTTTTTATGGTTACCGATATTTTGAACTAAACTTGTGTGTCTACTTAGCCATAAGCCCAAAAAGCCCTGCTGATAACCCACAAGCCTAGATCGAAATGTTTGTAACCATTAAAGAAAATTTATTTTATGATAAATTTCAATTGGTTGTGTTGATTGTCACTTATAACTGAGTATGTTTTAAAATCTGATGAATTACTCTAGGCCACCATTCAAGATTTAATTCCCACTTGTTTTTCAAATATAATGAAACATTTTGTATTCCTTTTTTTAATTAATTAATTTTTTTTAATAAACAATATGAGTATTAAGATAGAATATATCCTGTGTCTGTTGACAATTATTTCATGGTAATACCATTGAATAAAGACCAACCCTCATATTCTGGCAAGAATAAGTTTGTGTCCTCCAGAATAACTATCTCTAGTCTATCCTATTTGGTATATGTAAGGGTAAGGCGCTAAACAATTTATTTAATGACGGAACAAGTTATCTCCTGTCTACCGTTTAAGGAAAGGATCGGAATCTTTAGTAAAAATATCACAAAAATTTGATACCAACTCTACTTTGTGTATTCATCTCTCCATTATAATCATAGAAACTCAAATCTACAAGATTAAAGCTTAATCAATATTCTTACAATGGATTTTTGATCTCAGTTTTGTTGGATTTATTTCTCACAAGATTATAAGCATTTCAATTATGACATTTATGTTGAAATACTTACTTTGTAGCTAATCATCATAAACTTGAAAATTAGAATTTATGAGACTTTTTTAAAATAGCGATGGACTGAGGAAGATGCTATGCCAAAGATAAAGTAGGTTAGAACATTAATGATCAATGAAGTGAAGAATAGTTGGGGTGATCAGTCAAATAAGAAGGCAAAAATGAATTTACGCTTCCGGTACTTTAATTCAAACTTCGTCAGATAATCGTTGGAGATGACGCCACTATACATCCCTTCTCTCCACCCCCTCCCTGACTAACATGCTCATTGCTTCGATTTACTTCTTTGCAGTCAGGTGTGTTTTTCTTTTTCTTTCTTATTCTCTTTCTTATTTCAGACTTCTCAGTATCTCCTTCCTTATTCCGTATTCCTCCTTCCTTTCATCCCTTTTCTCTGTTTTAACTCTTTATTATATTATACGTTGTCTGTACATCTTGATAGATTTTACAACATCTCAATTTTCTATCTAACTATTCTATTCACAATATCTTAATTTTACTGTTTATTTCCATTTCTTATATAACTTCATATTTTTCTGTTTTACATTTTATTCTAAGATTCCCATTTTAATACTTATGTCACCTTTTTTGATTATGTTTACTTCATCATTCCACACTTTGTACCGCTTATTATCATTTATCTCTTAGTTCTTACTATTGTCATTATTCTAACAACTGCATTTTACTTTAATTTTTTTTACCTACGCTACTTACGTTTCTCATAGCTTGTTATCTGGTTCTTTTCTTAGCCCTGATGATGGCCTGAACTGCAAGTCGAAACATCGGCAAATGTCAAAATAAATAGTATCATTTATTTTTGCCTTCTTATTTGACTGATCACCCCAACTATTCTTCTCTTCATTATTCACGACAGTCAACCATTTACCAATTATTAATGATCAATGTATTTGTATTAGGATCGAAGAGGCTGTTGGAGGAGGAAGTCCTGGTGATGATGATGGATTTGAAAGTTTAAATTCTCAAGGTTCAAGCGAAGATGTTCAAGCCGTTCAACCACCAGAAGGCCCAGAAGCAGTTTTTAGAAACAATTGGTTGGAACAGTCAGCTAGAAGAGCTTCTAGTAAGTTTCATCTGATATCTGTAGTCTGTACGATATTAAGCGATTTAGATATTAATACAACCTAAGAGAAGAATGTGCTAAGTGTGTTAAGTCTGTAGTCTGTACGATATTAAGCAATTTAGATATTAATACAACCTAAGAGGAGTATGTGCTAAGTGTATTAAGTCGACGATTCCATTTATATCAGAAAGATTATTGTGAACATCTGACAGAGCGGGACATACTGGGAGGTGCAAGTCGTACATCTCGTCTTCTTGGTAAAGAGGGCACACAGGGCTTTCCATCACTCCAATCCTATGCCTTTGCAGGTAATTTAGTCCAGCCGTCATGCGGAAATTTACCACAGTTTCTTTTCTATTTTTTTGTTTATTGGCCCCTCTGTTAAAGATTTCCATTTTTTCCCTGCTGCCTGTTGCTTTTGCCGATTCTTATTCTATTTCTTGTAAAAGGATTTTAAAATCCTTTTAACAGATTCATAGAGCAGCAGAGGATTAGTTTGTGGCATTTCCAAGGCGATCCGTGCGAGCTCATCGGCTTTTTTGTTTCCTGGTAGACCACAATGGTTTGGAACCTATTGGAAATTCACTCGGATTCCTTTTTTAATTAAATTTCTAATCCGATCTCTAGCACTAGTGATATCAGGATGGTCGAGGCCATTGCAGATCACTAGTAAATCGACAAAGATCACAACCTGGGGATAGCTGAGTTCTTTCTCTATTGCAGCCACTTCTCCACTTTGACTTCTCCATCGAAATTTGTCCCCCGGCTACCAGCATGGATGGGTAACCAAATCTTGGCAGTATACTCCTCCTCCTGTATTCCGCTTAGCTGTTTGAGCGGAGCCATCAGTATATACGTGGAACCAATTATGCTCAAAATAGCAGCTATTTATTGTTTTCATAGCAAGCGCTTTCAATTCCCATTCAGGTGTTTGGTGTTTACTTACAGGTTGCGTTAGATCTAGCCGTGCTGATAAATAAATAAATACTAATATAATATAATAAATAAACTCAATTAAGGGACTCTTTTGAATAGTCATTGTTTGATTACTTTCGCAGCCAAACATGGCTTCTTTTTTTGTACTGATTTTAACAATTTAATAGGACAATATCTGCATCTTATTATTATAACCATTTAATTAAAAATTAATCATAAACTAATTTGGTAATTTTATTTATTTTCTTCTCTCTAATATTCAAAATGTTTTTAATATGCAAGGGCTTTTATAATGCTTGTTACTTATTACATTTATTTATTTACAGTTGGTGTGAACGAGGCCAGCTCAGGAGAAACAGATCACAAAGATTCTGATTCAGACAATTCTACTAAACCGAACCAGGTGATTCTCATCATCTCCTTTCTTTTTCACTGATAAAACAGATTTAAAATAAGATCTATTTTATATATATATATATTTTCTGTTGTTTTTCCATTTGTCTGCACGCAGCTCTGTTGCTTGTTTGTTGATCCTATCTATCCATCTGCTTTTTGGCCTTCCACTTTGTCTTCTGCCTTCTATTCATTGTTACGTAGAGGCTTCCAGATGGATTGCAACGAGCTACATGCCCCGCCCATCTTGACCTCCATATCATGGGATATTGATTGACCAGTTTCTGTAAGCTGTTTTTTATTGATGCTTCTTCTCCATGTGTTAGTACTCTGATCCCAGATCGTTCCGGTTATCGTGCGGAGGATTTTTCTCAAATCTTTCAACACTTTTTTCCAGGGTGCTATTTAGTGTCCAGGTCTCACAGCCATATATTAGAACTGGCTTTATCATAGCATTGTACACCCTTAGTTTGAGATTTTTCGGGATTTCGATACCTTTGAGAGGGAGAACAAAGCTCTGTTTGCGATAGTTACACGCAGGTCTATTTTTGTCCATTGGTCATTCGTTGAGGTTATTGTGGAGCCGAGGTTTTTGAATTTCTCAATTCTCGGGAATGATTTTTCTTCTATGCAGATCCTGTTATTGGGGTGGAATTTTCGGTTTATTAACATTATTTGTTTTGTCTTCATTTAGTTCGAAATCATGTGCTTTGATTTATTGTGCTTTACATTTAATAATAAGTATATTGTAGGTGTATTGCTGAAAGTCATTAAGTAATATTTCCTAAAATTTAATCAATGTAAATACTTTGATAAATTTCCTTTTTCTGAAATCAGAACAATTTGTACTTTGTGTTACTATTTCTGATTTTTTTTTTCTATTGTTTTTGTTATATGTATATATGGTATGAACGAGTCTCATACAGCTCTAATACTAAATGCTCTTAATTGAAGCTAAATGTATTATTTCTCAATAAAATAAGATTTTTATAAAAAAAAAAAAAAAAATTCTAAAAATTAATAAGATTGTGTCATTAGGATGAACTTTCTATGTTTAGGTCAAAAATCGTAAAAACATACTTAAAAATTTAGTTCCATCTAAATTATATTTAATAACCTTTTGCAATAAATCGACGATATATTCTAATAATTATCTACCATGTTTATTAATTTGTCTTTACTTGTATTCTGCTTTAAACATTTTAAGTCAAAAAGATAAATAAAATTTGCGATTCAATCAAATTATAAAATGATTGAAATTTACAGAGGTTGTTATGCAGAAGAAGAGGGTCTCAGCAGGTCCTCCATGTTGGCCTGCCGCCGCCTCCGGCCGTCGTCGACCACTCCTCGTGCAACTCGAGCGAAGAGGAAGGCGGTGAAGGAGGTAGCCTGTGCCCCGCCCTCACAGAGGGCACCACCAGCGCGGCCGAATGGATCGGTATCACTACCAATTCGGACGACTGCTCGGTCAGCTCTGAGGGAGATGATCATCCTTTTGCTTCTGAATTTCATACTGTAGGCTTTATCATTCATTTTTATTGATTTATGAATCAAATTAAAAATTATTAAATATAGAGTAAATTGTTTTTTTCATGGTTACAGTCCCCTTGTGCTATTTTGAGTCCTAGTTGTGCTGCATCGGATAGAGGTAATTATTGATTTTATCATTGAATTAAATAATTAAAATTTAATAATAATAAACCTGTATATTTTTGTAGTAAGTTGCACGATGTGGGAGAAGAAAGAAGTTAAAAAAGCAGATTTGTCTGTTTTAGACATCAGTTCTGCCATAATAGCTCGTGTAGAAGCAATGCCAGAAAACATGGATTATTTCTATGTAGGTTAGTGAATATCTTTGTTTTTCAATTACCTTTGTTTATTCAAGATCTTTAAACTATCTTCATTTTTTTAAATTTATTAATTAATTTACTTTGTTATTAAATTATTCCACAACGGTGTTTGACATTTTTATGTTATTTTAAAAGTAAATTAAAACTTTAGAGATATGATATATATTATTCATGTTACTTGTAATTTTTTAATAATTAGAGAAAACTTTGTTTTTCTAAAGAAAAAAATTGTCCGAAAATTTAATGTACCATTAATAGACAGATTTCCTTGTTAATTATAACCAAGAAAGGAAATGAAAATTAATTTAAAACTTCATTCATGAACCAACATGATTAAAAAATTCAATAAGCTGTTATATATGTTTACTAATAATAGCCCTATTTTAATGATTTTTTTTTTTTAGTTTTGTAACGAATTTATTAATCTTTTAAATAATCATAGGTATAATTGAGAAAAAAATGTTTACTTTTGAGTTATTTGCAAATCAAGTTTCTTTTCCTTCATAACTTTTGTCCTGAAATTTCGAGAGATGTGACTATTTTTCACACTTGAAGGAGAAGATAATCAAAATGAGGGCTTAATCATTGGATTTGATGAAGAATTGAAGAACATATGGCGTATTGACAAAATACCTTTGAGAAATAATTTATAAAGATAAATCTTCCTCTGAATTATAAACATAAAAATTTGAAGTTGTTGAAACTTTAATTAATTTTATGTGGGGATGAAATATTAAAAATTTATAAATACTTATTTGCTTTCCACTTGAATCATAATCTGATCTGAAAATTGAGAAAAAAGATATCCAACAAAAACATTGGGCTGTTTAGCCTATATGACCTTTTTTTTTTTTACATGTTGGGAATGGGGGCCACACCAAACGGCCTAATATTTTTGTGTGGTCGCCTTTCTTTTTTATTTTGTGGTATAATTATTTTATGATTCAAGTGGGAGGCAATTAGGTGTTCATGAGTTTTTAATACCTAATTAAATAGACAAAGTTAAACAATCTATTGAATGAAAATGATGCCCCATTTCTGAGAATTGTCTTGGAAAAGTTGTTGGTCACAATAAGATGAAGCCATTCACAAAGTTTTAGGCAGGTGTTAATAATTTGATAAAAAGGGGTCTGTACCATTACCTTATATATTGTTTTATTTGTCCGTAACTAATGAACTGGGTTTCATAAAATTTCCTAAGTTATTTTTTAGTGAAGCTCACAAATATTAAAATCTCAAGAAGCACATATAAAAAATATCTTGTGTTTCTAAATATTTACCTAGTTCTGTCATAAATATTGTTACAAGGAAATATATACAGATTTCAACAGAAAACTTATTAGACGATAAAATGTACATCCATAGAGAGTAAAACAAAATAGAAATTATTCAAAATGTTCCCCTTTTACCTTGATACAGGCATTTAATATCTGTGGCCAGTCATCAACAGCAGTACGCAGCACTACTTGAAGAAAGTGCTCAACTGCTCGGACCAGAGATTGTTTGATGCTTTCCAAGTTAGTGTGTGCTCTGTGGCATGCCATCCTCTCCAGTTCGCACCAAAGCTGATAGTCTAGAGAGTTGAGATCAGGGCTTCCTGAGGGCCAATCCGAGGCAGAGATGAATTCTGGAATGAACTTTTGCATCCACTGCTGAGTTCACCTGGCCTTTGAGCTGGAGCGGAATCCTGCTGGAAAACCCAATGACCAGCAAACAGAGTATTATTTAGAGACAACAGGTTCCAAAATATGATCCTGATAGTTTTTAGCTGCTGCTTTAACTCCTTTTTCACAAAAATGGAGCTTTGTGGTGCCATCAAAGCAAACTCCCCACCAAACCATCACTGAGTAAGAGTGATGATCTTCCATGATCCACTCTTCCAAAGACTTCCTGGGCTTCTTTAGAGCTGTGTGCGTACACACGATCATTTTGGCGATTAAATTTTCCTTCAATTGTAAAAATTTTCACATCGCTAAACAAAATCTTTCGATAAAGACTATTAGTGTAACGGCCAAAGAGCAATTTGCATCTATCCACTCTAATTTTTTTTTAGGGAAGTGGTTAGCTTTTGTCCTGTCTTTCTTCGAAATGCACCCATCCTAAGGTCACTTTTTATTATGCGAGACATTGATCTGACAGAGATTTCCATTTCCTGAGACATGATTTGTTGTTTTCGAATGGGATTTCTTCTGAATCGAGCAGCCGATGCTCTCACTGTATTTGCCGTTCTCACAGTGCTGGAACGGCCCAGTTGAGGTCTGTCACACACAGATAGGGTCTCATTATATCTATTTATAGTGCATTACACGAACATATGGCTTATACCCAAAGGTTTCAAAGTGTTGTGTGGTAAGTGTTGGTTTTCCAACTTTGTGTAAGGTGATCACAGCTATTCGGTTTTTTTTTTATCACCCCACTCCATGTTAACTGAGCGAAAGAAAAATACAAACTAATTGGGATTATTATCCTAACATGTAAAGAAAATAACCTGAAAGAGGTAAGGATTATCTAAATAATACCCAAGGATGTAAACAAAGTTCAACTTATATATGCTTTTATTTTTTAAAATTTAATTATCATTTCTATTTACTTCAATAAATTGAAACCTCTATAATTTTATTTGTATGCTATTTACTAATTGATTTCTGTCTTGTTTTTAATTTTTTTTTTTTCTAATTTTAAGGCATGCTTGGTGCTATCTTGGCTGGCTTGGTTCCTGCACTGTGCCGCCTTGTGGACGCCAAAGTCCACAAATCGGTAGCCGTAGATTTAATCAATGCAAATTGGACTGCTTCTCATTACATAGGAGAGTATTTAGCATCAGGTTGTGAGTCAGCTTTCGGTCCAAACAAATGGTAACATTTTTCAATAAATCATATCGGTGTTGAGATTATTTAATTTAATCTTATATTTAATAACTTCTTCCATATTTCAAGAGACTTTGTCTTAGAATAAAGTTATTTTCTATTTCTAAAACCAAATATCAATGAATAAAATTCACTTTTCTTCTTCTGCTTTATACCAAGTCTAAGACTAAAATTTAAAATTGTTTATTAATAATCCATTCTTTATTATACAATCCGTGAATTGCTTTCATTTATTTGGTTCATAATTTTTTTTTTTTACTATAAAAGTTTTGTCTTAAAAATTTCAATAGTGACAGTAGGAAATTGCCTCACTTCTACTGTAAGACCTTTTGATTTTTTTTTCCCACTTTATTAATCCTATTTGTTTTATATGTTACAGGAAATAAGAAATGCATGCTATTATTTATATTTACCTATGTGAATATTTTAATTTGTTACAGGACAAAAGTTATCTCTTTAAATGCACTTGTCGAGAGAACAGTATTGTCTTCTCTGTTTTTCTTCTTGGTCACAGTCGCTGAAAGGACTTTCAAACAAAGGTTCCTCTATGCCAAGTTTTTTTCACACTTGACATCGTTTAGACGGGCTCGGAAATCTGAGTTGCCCCATTTTAGACTTAATAAAGTTAGAAACATAAAAACATGGCTTTCAGTACGATCATATCTTAGAGTAAGTGTTAAGTTTTTATCTGGTATTGTTATATAATTCTTGAAAACTATTGACTTTGTTATAATATTGCTCTAACTTATGTTAAGGTAAATGTAATTTGTTGGAGTAAATCAACAGAAAGTTTTCACTTATTCTTGCACAAAATTTTAGAAAAATATGTACCAGGGCTTAAAATAAAATAAAAATAAGTTTTTTATTTTTTACAATAAATTAGGCCAATTATCACCAACATTTTATTGATACGCATTACTTTGACGTTTCGACCATACTAAGGGTCATTTTAAAATCTGGAAAATTATAATATTATTAGTTAATATTCAGCAATTACAAAAAGAATTTCTTATTAGATTTAATTGACTTGTCTAACGTTCTATGTCAAATTATTTCCGATACACATAAATTTATCTAAAAATATACATAAAATATACACTTTTTATTATTAAAAAAAACCATACATGTATGTAACTATAAACATTAAGACTTTACATTAAAAACAATTGACTATTACCTTGATGAGTCCTCCGTTATATGATCATCATTAATGTTGTAATTAATATGTTCAGTGAACATTAACTTGTCATGTTATATAGGGGCTTCGCCCACTTCATTCCTGGAGGGACTGATTTATATCGTCCTGGTGGGGATAGTCAAAAGGAGAGGGATTTTCCTTCTAATGTTTTGCATTGGTGGATTATTATATTATATACGAATTTTGTTAATTATATTTGCATAAAAAGTATTTATATTATCCACATCTCTATGGTTGTTAACGGAATTCTGTAAATTTTTTGTAATATATATAGAATCTATAAACTTTCTTTTATTATTACTAGTTAGTATTTAATGTTATTAACTAGTAACTGAACATATTAATTACAACATTAATGATGAACATAAAACTGAGGACTCATCAAGTTAATAGTCAATTGTTTTTAATGTAAAGTTTTAATGTTTATAGTTACGTACATGTATGGGTTTTTTTAATAATAAAAAGTGTATACTTTATGTATATTTTAAGATAAATTCATGTGTATCGGAAATAATTTGACATAGAACGTTAGACAATTCAATTAAATGTAATAAGAAATTCTTTTTGTAATTGCTGAATATTAACTAATAATGATATTATAATTTTTCCAGTTTTGAAAATGACCCTCCGTCAAATTAATGCGTACCAATAAAATGTTGGTGATAATTGGCCTAATTTATTGTAAAAAATAAAAAACTTGAAGACACCAAAAGTAGGAAAAATGAACAGAAGAAAAATAAGTTTTGAACTTTCACGATTCTAATTCAAATGTTTTTTTACATTACTTTAGAACTTACTTCTGGTTACTTTTAGCTAAACACATTAAAACCTTATTCAACTATTTTTTTTTTCTAAATTAATTTTTAAATCTTTGTTGACTGCCAAATTTTTGAATATTTTATCACAAATTTTTTTTTTTTTTAAATCCATCGAAACTGTTAAAATATAACTTTTTAAAAAGTTCCAAGCCAATGACCCAAAGTTATCCGATGTACGTTTGTAACCATGGTTTATTGTAATTCATCGCCTCTAATGCAGGGGTTCCCGAGACGAGTTTTCAATTCAAATGTTTTAAAATTTGTTTCTTAAATATATGTCTATTTACAAATATAACAAGATTTTATAGATATAAATTTTAGAAGTATAAATGAATTATTAGAAAATTATAATTAATTTATGGAATTAATATTGTCACTATTGTTTTGATTAATCTCTTTCTGTGGTAGTAAAAGAAATGAATGCCACTGTTGGTAACACTGTATTAAACTTATTTTGTAACTAGTTATAACTCAACTCATATCCCTTCTTATTTATTTTCAATTATATTTTCAAAATGTGTGGATCTAATATAAGAAAACTATATAAAAATAATAGATTAAAATTAAACATTCGTTACACTTGATGTTTACTCCTTTTCTGTAGAAATATGTATCATCGGTGATAGAAATAATAAAAAAGTCTGTTACTATACGTATATATTTCTTTTTATTGATTCGCTTTATATTTTATTTTTAAATATTTACAAACAGTAAACCCACATGCAATTCTCGTTTAATAAAAACAAGGTACTCCACACCGAAGACATTACCTATAAATGTGCCCGCAGGTGAAAAAAGGTTCTTTGGAACCCCTGCTCTAATGTAATTGTTTCATTGTTAAAAGAATCGAATGAAATATAGACTCAATGAAGCATCTAATAATGACTCATCTAAATATAAATTAGATGAATTAGTAAATAATTATTTTATACAAATTAATAAATAGTTATTATATTTATTTTAAATGATATTTACTTGCTCTTTTTTATCTTATCTGACCTGAGATATAACTGTATGTTTTAATTTTTTATTTTAGAAAAGAGGGCCACAGCATTCAGTTGATGTAATAGTATCATCAGTGTTTCTTCTTACAATATTTTTACTTGGATTTATAAGCGTTGAATATCTGAAGGTATATCTGTTGACTGTGTAGGAGGCATTACATATATCGAAAATGAAAGTTTATTTTTAATTATGTAATTTCAATTTCAGGATTCTGACATAATGAATAGTCAATCTACTGTAGAAGCTCTCTTATGGGGCATGATCCTTGGGTGTTTCTTATTGCGTTTCATGACACTTGGTACAAAGATAAATCGCAAATATCGTAATTTGTCTGTCCTCATTACGGAGCAGGTATATTTTTATCCAGAGTAATTTTCATTAATATATATATATATATGTATATATATATATATATATATATATATTATATATATATATATATATATTTTTTTTTTTTTTAATTTAAAAATATTTTTATTGTTAATGAATTATTTCAGATAAATTTGTATTTACAAATTGAACAGAAACCGAACAAAAAAGAGGAACTTATGGTGGCAAATAGTGTATTAAAGCTTGCAGCTGACCTATTAAAGGTAAAGTATTACATTGAGCTCATTATCATTCTTTCAGCTCCTGTAAGACTATAATAAATAAAATGGGGAAGTTGGTTGGAGGTTACATCCACAAAGAAGAATAGATAGCTTTATTTTATTTTATGCCTAAGTTTCAGGCCTCAATCTGGACTGAGGAAAGACAAGATATCAACCAAACAAAACATATTACAAACAATTTAACAAGAAAATAACAAGATATGAAAAAAAAAAAATGTTGTCTTATTGCAAAATGTCATCAAGTATGTTTTTGATCGAGCTGAATTTTTAAGAATTATTTTGTGAATTGCTACATTATTTATAAATTAAAGTTCAAACTAGAATGACACAAACGCTTTTATATATCATATGGTTTTATATAGTTGCAACAAGCGCACAATTTTCTGATTTTACAAAAGGAAATTCATCCTAATTCTTAGTGATTTAAGGTCATGAAATGTCACTTAATGATTTTTTGCAATAAATTGAAAATATACAGGGTGTTTCGTAATTGCACGGCACTACCCACCTATCTCCTTCCATACCACCGTTAAAAACCTAGGCGTTACCCTCGATCAAAACCTCTCCTGGAAACCACACATCTCCCAAATTTCCCGCCGTACTATATCCACCCTGAAACAGTTTAACCAGCTACGTTATCTTCTTCCGTTCAAAACCTGTCAACTCCTGATCTCCTCTCTTGTTTTCCCCCACTTCGACTACGGCTGCATGGTGTATGGTGGAATCTCGGGAGAACTCAAAGCCAAACTTAAACATTTAATGAATTGCTCAATCCGCTTTATCTTTGGGATCTCAAGGGATACGCATATTATCCATTTCTACACCAAGTTGAAGTGGCTTAATCCGTCCTACAGCCTATTATTCCTGGGTTGCCGTCAATATTTTCTGGCTACCTTCCTATACCAAGTCATTACAACATGGCGACCTGCCTATATTCTACAGATCCTACAATTCAAACTCTCCTTTCAATCCCGTCCCACCAGATCCCGTGCGTCCGACCTCTATTCCCCTCCTCACCGAACTGCTGCATTTGATAAATCCTTTTTAATATAAGTTGTCTCCCTCTGGAACTCTAGATCTTCAGATATTCGACACTCAAAATTGATATCCTCTTTCAAATATCTCCTCTCTTCGAACACCTATTCCATTCCCAATCCGATTGATCACGAAATGCACTTAAAAACCTAAGCTGTAAAAATCTCAAAGTACACCCAAATACTCTGATTATTTTGTAATTCATTGGTATTTTGTTCACTTAATTACTTTCTCTGTATATTTTATATTTACACGTATTTATATCTTTTTATCATTTATAACTTTATTGTACTCCGAATCAACCTGTAAATATTAAATTTTATTTCATGGACACACCAAAATATTAATATATATTCTGTATTTGTGACTTGTTCTAAAGGGACACTAGTCCCAGAATAATAAAATTATTTTCATTCCTTCACTATTTTAGGTATATGTCCACTAACTCAAAATAAACAAAAAAGTTCATATCAACATATATCTCAAACTCATTTATTAAACAGATATCAAAGGTTAAAAAGATTTATTATTTATTTACTACATTAAGACTGACTGTACAAAGTTTAACGTGTTTAATACTAAAAATAGGTTTTAATCACCTGATAAACAAATGAATTATAAGAAATGACAGAAGTTTTTCTAGTTCTGTGTGTTTTAGTGTGAGTGAATACTGTGCTACAGTTCAATTTATCGTTATCATGGGAGATACCATAAACAAATGAGCAACTACTGTCATTGCTTATCAGTGTTCACTCACACCAATCCTCACAGAACTAGACAAATAGATGGAAAACTTCTGTCAGTTCTTATCGTTCATTTGTTTATCAGGTGATTAAAACCTGTTATGTAGTATTAAACAGGTTAAACTTTATAGTCAGTCTTAATGTAGTAAATAAATAATAAATCTTTAACCTTTGATATCTGTTTAATAAATGAGTTTGAGATATATGTTGATATGAACTATTTTGTTTATTTTGTGTTAGTGAAAAAATAGCTAAAAAGAGCCGTGCTATTATGAAACACCCTGTATATCTTGTTTGACGGTATATAATAAATTTATGATATATATATATATATATATATATATATATATATATATATATATATATATATATATATATATATATATATATATATATATTTATATATTTATTTATTTATTTATTTATCTTGTTCTTTCTAGTACATTTTGATTGTTTGTTATCTTGTTTTTTCTCAGCCTTGATGAAGGCCTGAAATTTAGACAGAAACATAAAATAAAAAGTTTTTATTTTTCTCTGTGACTGCCTTTATCTATATTCAATTATGTTTCCACCATTATTAGTTAATAAATAACATCAATTGCCAAAAGAAGTTTTTAAAAAATAAAAACACATCTTTTTCTTCTTGGCAAAATGCACCGTGAATAAGGCCTATTAAAAAAAAAAAAAAAAACTTAATTTAGTGAAAAGGCCAAATTCAAGGTTTGTAAAGAGGCTATTATAAATATAGATAATTAAAAAATATATTGGGTAGGCAAATAAGTCCTTTCGGTTTTTCTGTTTAGTTTTATGTCACTATGATAGACTTCTTATCTGAAGAATTAATACCTAAGGTGGATTGTTTATCCTGTTTGTACTATGTCAACAACTAGTTCTGATAATTCTTGTTGAAACTAGCTTAGTTTTGTGTTTGCTATTGCACTGTTAATATGGAAGAAAATATCATTCATCATCAGCATATTTTGTGGTGTATTTTGTTTAAAAAAGGTAGGCCAGCTGCAGAAGCTCATAGAAAAATTTTCTGTGCTTATGGGGATGATACCTTAACCGAACGCACCTGTCAAAATTGGTTTGCCAAATTTCATTCAGGAAATTTTGACATCAATGATGCTCAATGGTCTGATAGCCCACATGAAACTGAAACGAGCAATGTTAAGGCCATTGTTGATCAAAGTCTTACCCAAACAGTGCGAAAGATTGCTATGGCCCTAAATGTGTCGCGCAAGCTCGGCTATGTTTCCAGACTTCGTGTTTGGGTCTCTCACATGATTTTTTTTCGAAAATCACAAAAAATGTCATAACTTCAATACGACTTAGCTATCTACAAGAAATTTCGCAGGAATTTAAGGCCACATAAACTACACAAAATTACATCAACAGGGCCTTCGTAAACAAACTACAAATGGAGATAATAAAAATAGAAGAGAAAATAAAAACCTATAAGGAGTTCTTGTTTATTTATTCCTTATATAGGCATTGAATCAAAAAACCATTCATATTGCTTTGAAGAACAATAATTCAGCTTTCCAATGGATATGGTAACATCGAATTTAGAGAACATCCTGGAGAGTTATGAATGATCGGAAGGGTGTCGTATTCCACCAAGCAGCACTATGCCCCACACCTCATTAGTTAAGAAATATTTTCAGGATCCAGTGAAATAACATTTTTGATTAGCACGTTTTGTATATTTTTGCATCCGTCATTATAGCATAAATTCGTCGCCATATATATGTATCATATGTAGTACTTGATACTGTTTTATATTCCATCCCTACATAAACAACTAGGTTATATACACTAGCGGATCCAAGATTTAATTTTTGCATAAATTTTTGCATAAATAAATCACTTGCAATAAATTATTGAGCCTTGGATGGTACCTTTTGCTCCACTCTCTATATTCACAAGACCTAGCTCCAAGTGACTGCTACTTATTCCGGTCTCTGCAGAACTCCATGAATGGAAAGAAATTCCAAAAGGAAGAGGACATCAAAAACCACTTGGATCAGTTTTTTAACAATAAACTCCAGACATTCTATGAACATGCCATTATGCAGTTAGTAGGAAAGATGGGAAAAAGTCATATTAAATAATAGTCAATATATTGTAGATTAAAATAAATTTTATGTCTATAATACATTCAGTTTTATTTCACTCTGAAAAACCGAAAGGACTTATTTGCCAACTCAATATTTCTTGGAGATTTAACACTTTCTACACATACACATATCTCAGATAATTATTGGCTATGCTTACCTCATTTCTGTTTTTCTTGTCATATATTTTATTATTTATTTTTTATGATTTCAGGAGCTGGAATGTCCTTATAAGATTTCCGGTATTTCTGCAAACCCTTACCTGTACACAATTACTAAAGTTGTCATCCTAAGTGCAGTTTCTGGCGTTCTTTCAGAAATGTTGGGTTTCAAACTTAAACTGCATAAAATCAAAATTAAATGAATAGTTGTGTTGTTGAGACGTAGCTAGAATTTTTCCCCCTGATACTCTTTGAACCTTGACTCATGGGTATAGTATAAATAACTTGAAGAAAGGCGTGCGCATACGACGCGAATAGCCGTAAGAGTGTGTCTGCCTAGGTAGGAATTAACTGTTATCATTTGTAAGACTTATTTTCAGAATAATGTTCCTTCACCCTCACCCTCACTACATCACCATCTACGGAACTGTTGAATCCTGACCCTATTAGCCATCTTAGTAGTTAGTCTTGAGAAGTTCTTAATAACGATGCTAAGAAGCTTTCGGAGACTTACCGTAGTACTTTTCGAGCTTTCTCAAAATATTTTGTCTAGCTCAATTTTTAGAGAAGTTTTAATATTAGGATGTCTTCTCGACTAGTATATTCGAGTAGTTACAATAAAATTATATTAGCTAAATATTGTGATGCATAGTTATTATTCAGACATATCCATATTGGTGAATAATGTTGTTAATTATATTGATCTCATCTATCAAGAAATGTTATTGACGGACTAGCACGGGATAGTTTCCTCAACAAAGACTAGATTATCTTTTTTTTAACTTGTTTTGTATTGTATCCTGTTATCATTTGTTTAAACAAATATTTATCTTGTAAATATATTCATATATATATTTATAGATTACTGATAATAGTAATTTATTAAAAGTAAAAAAAAATACTTATTGTAATGTTAGGACTTTTTTTTTTTTTGACTTCAGTATTTTAGTGAAGTCAATTTTGTAATTGTTATTTGACAGCAACAATATGGTTATTGTTATTTGACATGTTAAGCCAATATTATTGCTTATATTTATTTTAATAGTATTTTATAATTATTAATGTTGATTAGTAAAGATACAATAATTAAATCTTGTCATTATTTAATATGATCTAGAAATGAACTATAAACGTGTGCCAGACGGAGGGAGACATCTTAATATTGTGATTATTTCATCGAAAATAAATGTTATTTTACAAAAACAGTGCTATTATCTTCTCCTTTTTTTATTATCATAAAATTATATATATATATATATATATATATATAGTACCCATGATAATCTGGTTCCTGATTTCATAATTTATTTTTTCACAATTTGAATGAAAACCTTCTTATCTGATAGCTCAATAAGTTTTAAATAGGTGCAAATTGATATTTAACTAATTTAGATAATTTCTTAGGTTTTAAGCTATCAGAAGTTTTCATTAAAATTGAAATAATAATAATAATAATAAATAACGATCAAAAGCAAGTAATGAGATTATCATGTGTTAATTCTATCACGAACTAAATATTTCATGGCATGAGTTCTTAACATCACATTTCATTGCTTTAGTTCACAAGGTCTTCTTAGCTCTTGGCCTTTTGCATGAAACCATAGAGTACAAACTAAAAAATAAAGAAAAAAAATTATGCACAAATTTTTTCAAAGCAAATTCTATTTGTTTTAATAATCTAATAATAAATTAGGGTAAAATCTATTGCTCTAAACAGTGTAGTGCTATAATCGAACATTGGAATATTTATTTGAAAGGTGTAAGATTGATTACACTTTATGTTTTGCCTCAGTATTTTAAGGAGACTATATGTAGAGTTTTGTCAGCTAAATATTCTGCAAATAGAATGGTTTGGTATGAAAGCTAAACAATATGGAGGAGAAAGGAAGTTAATAACTCGCACCACAGGCAAGCATGATCCTTTTCCAGAACTGAATTTTTTTTTGTCAATATCAATATATTACGACAAAATTTGGCATTAATTTTGAAAAGAAGAAATTCAGTGATTATATGTGTACCATGTTCTAAAAAATAAAGCAAACGAACTGAAAAATGTGCTAACAACCAACATTCAAATTAATATGACATTTGAAGTGTTTCATTTTCTTTGGAAAAATTAGTTGTATTATAAAAATAATGTTCCCTTATTCTAATATATGACTTTCTTGATAATCCAAAACCGCATGTAATCAGAGCAAGAAAGAAAAAAAATCTGGTGCGCGCAACACATAACTTTCACATACTGATCTACTTTGAATAGAAATTATTTTCTAGCAATGCTGGGCTATTATAAAATTTTTTGAATTGCATTTTAAACGGAGCTAAAGCTTAAAGCTTACAAATAACAAGACATTAAGACCATTATAATTACAAAATGTCTATTTAATATATCGACGACAAACAATAAAAATCTAGTCACTCCATCTGCTTTTATAAACCACACAACTTTCTTTGTTTTTATAAACCACAGAATGACTAACTCCAATTTCAACATTTTTGAGTGATGTCATTTTAGTGATATTTTTAGTTGAAAAAGTTATCTATGCAGACAATGAGTAAGTTTATTACAGAGGTGGTGATTGCAATGTTGAAATATAGAACTAAGAATAAAAGTATAAATTTAGGTACTTATTTCTTATGAATATTTCTTAGAAAGTCTCTTTATTAAATATCTGTAGAAAAGAGGTTTTTTTTAGTCTCAACAATTAAAAAAATATATTTTAAATTTATCCAAATTTTCACCTCTTCAGGTAAAATAACTAGAGACCATATCTTTCCTCCTAATTGTCCGATTTTTTTTTGTTTTTTTAGGAAATTCCATAAACTTAAAAAACCCAAAAAAGCGTATACTTTTTGAGTTATTCGAAATTTAATTTTAACATCCCTCGTAACTTTTTTTCCAGCTTCTTTTCGTTGAAGTAAGTTATATATATATAAATTTAAAAGGTATTGAGAAAATGACTAGCAAAGTTTCATTGAAATCGGTACATTCGTTTAGGCGCTACAGTCTATAGCAACGCAGGTTTTTCTGCATTTTTATTTTTTTTCTCCTTTATTAACTTATCAAATTCTTTCAAAAGTTATATGTAGCATTTTTTCGTAACTCTGAATAATGCGAAATGATTAACTTTTTAAAATAAACCATATTAAAGGTACTTTAGAGGAAGACATATATGAACAATGGGCATTTAAGCCCTATAAAGTGACATCAACAGGGATAAGACCTAAATGATATTAAAAACCACTTAATTATACAATGATACACCGAGTTTAATCAAAATCGTTAGAGCCGTTTTTTAGAAAATTGTAAAAATGTGTTTCAGCGTTCATATAAAGTGGCACTTCCGGTTAGCCTATTTTAACGAAAAAGTTACTGTCACATCCGGCTCACATACAAACCTTAAATACTTAATATCAATTTCGTACTACTTTTTGTTTATGAGCTGGACTGTTAACACACACACACATAGACCATTTTGCGACACTTGGTTATTTGGACTCAGGGGACCTCAAAACATGTATTTCTGTTGAAAACTGAGATTCAAAAATTTTCACGATCGCAATACTTACCCTTACTATATATTACATATATACGTAAGTGAAAGTAAAAAGTTGAAGTTGACTCGCGTGAGATTGAATGGAAATGGTTCTGTTTCTGTGTATATATTATTGGAATTGTTTTGTGTGGTAGCTTCTACATCGGTTTGTGGTGTCTCTAAAATGAAAACATTAAAACTAGGTGTTCTTCCAGAAGTTGAGGAATCTTTATATGTGGTTTTTGCAGCAGATGTCAGTAGGGTGTCCAATTTCCAAGAAAAGGCCAAAGTTTTACTTTAATAATTTTCTTAAGAAGGATGACAAAGCAGATTTTAATTCTAGTAAAGGCTCGATAATTTAAAAATCAGTGTTTTAATTTTTATTTCACTGGAAAATTACTTTACACCTATTTCATTTTTGACTATAGATATTTCATAGAAACTACATAAAGGCATTTAATACTTGCTCGAAGTGAGCGAATATATACTACGTAAACTACCAAAGTCTGGTACTTTTAAAGAATTTGCGAGATCAGGAGTTTTAGCAAAAAAATCGTAGGCTCAACATACATTATACGATCATTTTTTAGTTTGCAATGTGTTTATACTTAACAGACTACGCATATATTTTCATTATCATATGCAATTTTTCCCTTACCTGAAGAATGGAAAGAATCTATTCTTATTCCGATTCACAAAAAGATTCCGGGGACGGATCGTAATAACTATCGAGGAATTTCACTCCTTTCGGTGTGTTTAAAATATTCACTTTAATCTTAACAAGTCGAATCACAGAATACACCGAGGAAATGATCGGTGACTGCCAATGCGGATTTAGACGGAATCATTCGACTATTGATCAAATAGTTTTATTGTATAACTATTAATTATTTATGTAACTACAAATTAATTAATTATATAATTAATTTTCTTTACAGCAAATATTGGAGAAAAAATTAGAGTACAACAGTGTTGTTCACCAGCTATATCAATTTCAAAAAGGCTTACGATTCTATTGACTGCCAGAAACTGTATAATATTCTAATTGAGTAGGGGATTCCAAAAAAAATTAGTAAATCTAGTCAAAATGTGCTTGACGGAAATACTCAATAAAGTTAGAATCGGTAATAATTTATCCGAAAAGTTTGAGGTTTGTTTGGGTTTAAAACGGGATGATTCCCTTTCACCTGTCCTGTTCAATTTGGCATTAGAACATGCCATTAGGGAGGTAATGTGTACTGAAAAAGGGTTGGATCTGGGTGGGACAACACCCGTGCTTGGCTTGGCTACGCGGATGATCTGGTACTGTTAAGCGAAGACACGGAAACTATAAAACTAAATACGGCAGCGTTAATGAAAGCCGGTAAAGAACTGGGTCTCAAAATAAACACGGATAAGACAAAATATATGGTTAGCTACAAAATTGTCGATATTGATATAGAAGCTAACATGTTTGAGCAGGTAGAGAAGTTTAAGTACCTAAGGTCTATGATAACTAGAAAAAAACAAATTGAAGAGGAGATCAAGGTTAGGCTGAAGGCAGGAAATTCTTGTTATTTTTCTGTGACAAAACTACTTATTGGGCACATATGACGGCTGCTTGGTGTATGGAGGGCTATCTGCCAGGCTGGAAATGAGACTAAAAAGACTCATGAATTGTTTCATAAGATTCATTTTTGGGATCCCCAGACGTTCAAATGTTTCACTATGGTACACCGAGTTGAAGTGGCTTTATCCTACTTCCCAACGACAATTCCTTCTTGGCGTTTTCCTTTTCCAAGTCTTCAGAACTACAAACCCTCCCTACATCCTGGAACTCCTTACTCTGCGCTCCTCTATCCACTCTCTCAATACTAAGTCTCAACCTATAGACTTATATATTCCCTCCCATAAAACTTCCTCCTTCAGCAAATCCTTCGTCATTCGTGCTGCTTCCTTATGGAACTCACTTCCTACCCCCATGCGTCAATCCTCATCCACAAATTCCTTCAAACAACTCCTGTTCCAACACCTGCTCCACATTCAAACTTCCACTAACATGTAAAATTACTTGCATCTATACAATGTTTAATTTCAATCCATTGCACAATTGAAATAACAATTAACAATAAATTAGTTGGTATTTTTATTATGTCAGACTAAGATACATAAATTTGTAACTCTGTTATTATTCTTAGGGGACAGTAGTCCCAGAATAAATTTTTTTTTTCATTCATTCATCTTGTCCTGAAACTTAAACACTACAATCTATAAAACCATTATCCTACCTACAGTTCTTTATGGATACGAAACGTGGCCACTTACATTAAAAGATGAACAATGTCTTGCGGTTTTTGAAAATAAAGTATTGCGTTGAATATTCTGACCGAAGAAGGATGAACTGACCGGAGAATTCAGACGGTTACACAACACTGAATTGCGTGAACTGTATCCGAGTAATATAATTGAGGTGATTTTATCCTGGCGAATCAAATGTGCTTATAAAATTGTTGGGCTTAGTAACGAGAGAATTCATAAAAAGTGAATATTTGCTGTACCCAATGCTACACGTCCGAGGGGTAGACCGAAGCAAAGGTGGGAAGATTGCGTTAAAGCCGATCTGAAGGGACTGGGTTTGGATAGCGAAGGATGGAGGAAGGTGTGTAATAAGCGATTGGTGGTGTCGGCATCAAACCTTTGGGTTCGCTTAGCCTTTTATTATTATTATTATTATTATGCAATTTTTCCATCATTTTAAATTTAACTTTTGATAATTCCAACAGACCATTCTTCAGATTATCAAGACTGTTCTGTACTATTGTTCACAATTACTTTAGAATGATAGAATAATACTGATAAATAAATAAAGATAATAAATTGTATTGTTCTTACTCCATTTAGTTCCTGCCACCACTGGGCAGGCACCATGCATACTTCTTTCATCTTTTTTGTTGCCATCTGGTAATTGATTATACCATAACAGTGCAGTTCCTTTCTCTGGCAACACTCCCATGTTAAGTTTAGTAAAAACAGTTGCTCCCCCTTGATCGACATCATTCATCTAAGTTTATAATAAGCTATTTTAGTATAGTCATTTAAAATTCCATGAAATCTTTATTTAATTTATTATTATGTAAGAATTATGTCCACTCACATAGTATAGTAGTGTTGCGATTCTATCCCCCTTTTCTACATACCGCAGTCCATAATCCTAAAACAAATGAATTTTAAGAATGACAATATACGGGCTGTTTCAGGGTGGCCAAACTGTAAAAATAAACTAAGGACCTAAAAACAAGAAAAAAATTTCCTCTGAAGGCATGTCCGCAGACGCTTTGTTTAGGATATATTCACACCTAAAGATTATCGTTATGAATTATTTACGTTATATGAAATAAATAAAATCTATTTATTTGTTCTAACTACTTTATTAATTAAATTTAAACATTAACATTCATATTAAATGTGGTTCAAAGTGATTTCCTTGAGCATTAAAACAGGCTTGGCATCTTTCTTCAACAGCAGCAGTGGCAGAACGGCACTGGATATGTGTTATTGTTTCACAAGATTCAATTATCCTTCTTCGTAAGGAAGATCATTGACCGAACTTGTTCAATCATATCCCATATCCCAATCAATAGATTGGCCGTGCAGGACCAGTGGCTTGGCCTGCACGCTCTTCAGACCTGACACCACTGGATTTTGTTTGGCGTAACATTAAACAAAAAGTCTATGCAAGTCCAGTTAATGACCTTAATTCCTTACGAAGAAGGATAATTGATCTTGTGATACAATAACACATATCCAGTGCCGTTCTGCCACTGCTTCTGTTGAAGAAAGATGCCGAGCCTGTCTTAATGCTGAAGGAAATCACGTTGAATAACATTTAATATGAATGTTAATGTTTACATTTAATTAGTAAAGTAGTTACAACAAATAAATAGGTTTTATTTATTTCATATAACGTAAATAATTCATAACAAAGAAAATGTTTAGGTGTGAATATCTCCTAAACAAAGTGTTTGTGGACATACCTTCACAGTGCCCTACCACTGAGCTACCCCGCTCCCATTTAGAAATATAGAAATTTATAGTAAAGTAAGTTAATGGTTTTTTATAACGTACCTCTAAAGAATCGAAATGTGGCTTATAAAGGCCTCCAACAGCATAATTTACAACTTGTAAGTCTTCAGTACAATCAGTACAATAAGGATCGAGCTTGGTCATATCTTCAGCCCTTTGCAAAATAGTCCTCATCCTTGGATGATCATTACGTTTAATCCAATTCAATTGGGCTACTCTATTTATTGAATAAATTTCATCCCCATCTTCCTCCGTATTAACCACTAATGCTGAATGCAACTGAAAAATATGTTCAATACTCTTCAAATATCCTATTATGATATATTTTTATAATAAATATAGAGCTCTTTAAAGACAGGAGAGAAGACCTAAGAGCCGTGTCACAAATAATCCAGAAAAATTGGAAGGAAGGAAAGCTATTATAGACTTCTTACACGGGCCTAATCTATCTCTATCCTGTCAAAGGTCTTACATGTGCGAGTGTGGTGATAACAGATGTATCGCTCTCCTGGTTGCCTAAAAGACAATGACTAATACCCTATCCAATACAAGGAGAAGTGTCTGAAGCATTTAAAGTTCAAACTGGTCGAAGCAGGAGGGAGGCGGATCCTTTAATGGGTTTAACTTAGCACTCGAGAATGTGATAAGTTAAACAGCAATAGCATAAAAAAAATCATACAATCCATGGATATCCAGGATTCTGAAGATGAAGTCCCAAACTTTAAAGATACGAACATGTAATCAATCATCTTTTCCTAAATAAATTTACAAAAAAAAAAAAAATGCAACAACTATAACCTAAGGGTCTTGGGTTCAATACTATTTAGGGAAAGCACTGTTTCTTGGTCTACGGTTTTTCTCCTTAATCAATTATTTTAATTAAGGATATCCACTTTATAGAGGCTGGGTGTGCCCCAGGAGGGTCTACCTACCCAGGATCACCCTATGGCCAATGTTACAGAATAAATAATTTTTCTGCAATGAACCAGGATTCGAACCTGAGACCTTTAGTATAGGAAGCTCAGTACCCTACCACTGAGCAACCCCACTCCCTTAATAAATTTATACAATCATATAAGTTTAGTTCACCATTACCGTCAAACCAAACCTGTACAAAAAGTATTCCAATTATTAAAATTTTTTTTTTCTGTTGACATACAGACCATGTAGATCTCTTTCCGCCTTAACAAGCCTGCTCCATCTCTGCCTGTCTTGGACTATTTCTTTCCATTTATCTGCACGCAGCTCTATTAATTCTATCTATCCATCTGTTTTTTTGACCTTCTATGTGGTCTTTTGCCTTCTATTAAGGCATTCATTGTTACGTAGAGGCTTCCAGATAGGTTGCTATGAGCTACATGCCCCGCCCATCTTAACCTCCTTGCCTTCATATCATTGATTGACCAGTTTCTTTATGCAGTTCTTTATTGGCCTTTCTTCTCCATGTGTTAGTACTCTGATCCCAGATCACTCCGGTTATCGTGCGGAGGATTTTTCTCAAATCTTTCAACACTTTTTTCTAGGGTGCTATTTAGTGTCCAGGTCTCACAGCCATATATTAGAACTGGCTTTTTCATAGCATTGTACACCCTTAATTTGAGATTTGTTGGGATTTTAATACCTTTGAAAGGGAGAAGAAAGGTCTCTGTTTGCGCCAGTTTTACGCTGGTCTATTTCTATCCGTTGATCATTCATCGAAATTATTGTGGAGCGGAGGTATTTTAATTTTTCTGCTCTCAGGAATGATTCAGGATTTTCCTCCTACAAAGATCCTGTTATTAGAGTGGAATTTCCGGCTTATTATCATATATTTTATTTTGTTTTCATTTACTTGTAGGCCGATACTGCAATGCTTAAGTTGACCTTCTCTGGACCACATTGTTCTTGAAAGCAATCAAGAGGAGATTGAGAGGCTTGCTAAGACTCTCGGATGAATCATCCAAACAATAAATTGAGATCATATACGCAAAATACATGATTGTAAGCCAAAGATCAATTTGAACAACAGGATCGGTGTATAGGGGCAGGTTCCTGAGAGTAGAGAGGTCTTGGCTCCACAATAACCTTAATGAATGAACCTTTCTTTTCTCATTCAAAGATATTTAAATTCTCAAACATCTGAATAAATCTCAAATTCAGTGCGTACAGCTTACGAACCATGTTTCTTTCTGCAACTACTCCATAAAGGAGAAAAGGAAATTTTCTCCATAAGAATTGCCATCACTAGTTCTATAAAGTGCTGATTCCCTCTAAAGAAGTCAGTTCACAACAGTCCAGAAGTCGACTTAAGCATTACAGTATTTTTCTACAACTTCTTGTTCTTGAACTACCAGTAAATTTATAATTGACATTAAATTAAACAATTGCCTATAATATTAATATTGTATTTTAAAAAAATAATGAGAATACTTTTTGTACAGGTCTGGTTTGAAGATAATGATGAACTAGACTTATATGATTGGATACATTTATTTATGAAAAGATGATTGATTGTATGTTCATAACTTTATCTTCAGAATCCTAAAAAAATTATTTAGAATTATACTAAACAGGTCATTAAATATCAAAATGTGTAATAAGTTTTACAAAATAAAAATATGTTAAAATGTTTAGTTCTCCACTGCCATTAATTATATTAAGGAAATGCTACCAACTAAATTAAAGATATTCATGTTTTGAAAAAATGTTACCTCTGATTTGACCATTTCTTTTAAGAGTTTGATTTCCGAATCATAAAGTGCATCCTTAAAAAGAACAATTCTCGGATTTAAAAAAGCTTCTTCTTCCTTTAATGGAGCTAACCTGCAATATTATGGAAGATAAAAATTTTATTTATGTTGTTATCAAATAAATGGTTCTCTATTAGGTAATATGTCTGCGGTATAGATAAAATAAATATTTTTCATGAAATCATATATTGAGTAAGTTTAATTGGCTGGCTTTAGCATAATGTTTGAATTTGAAATTAATGCGAACAGAATTACAAATAATGTCTTAAAGCAATGTAAGCTATTTTAAAATACTCATCACCTTAAAAACGGAACATCATTATGAACGTAGTGACATTTTAGTTGTGGAGTTATTTCAACTGGAGATAAAATTGTTTTTCTACAAATGTTCCTGTATGCTATGTCCGAATCTGGCATACTGTGCTGGATTACCTATAGTAGAATTGATATTAATCCTTTTAAATGAAATTCTTAATATCAGAAATTTATTTTCATTCAGGCCAAAATACAACATAGTCTTGAGAAGTAACTTTAAATTCAGAAATTTTATTTTACAAATTTGGAGGTGTTTTTATGTTTTATATTTAAGATAATTTATAGTTTTGCAATTCTTTTATCAATTAGTTAAATTATTTAAAACAACTTTCATTCTATTACTAGGTATCTATTAATTTTTTAGATGAACTATTTGATGCTCTGAACCAATCCATCGATTAAAGAAAGAAAGTAAAATTTTGAATATGCTTTATATATTACAATTAAAAAATTACATTATTACCTTTGGTTTTGGAACTTCTTTTCTGTTAAGCATATATTTATAATATTCTATGTTACCAGGAGCTTCTGAATTATTTGGGTAGTGGTTTAATAACTCGGTAGTAATGTTAAGAGCTATAGATAAATCTCCTGAAATATCCATAAATTTATTATAAAATTGTAATCTTTTTTTCACCAATTACTGAAAGTAATAAATTTAATACCATTATATTGCTGATGATTACCTATATGCTGCTTAACATCTTTTTTAAAAAAAATCTGACAATATACAGTAATAAGAATTGTTTAGTAATGAACTTTGAAGAACTAATCGTTTTTTATTGAAATCATTTAACATACTATAATTTTATATCACATAAATTAAATTGGATTCATAATAGCTATATTCTACTAGCTAACCAATCATTTACTATATTATTGAATATTGCCAATTCACATACTATTTACTATTTAGAAATAATAAATACATATGAAGGAATATTTATTCAATTGATGCATATATTATTATTAGGATGGTTTATTTGAGAGAGAAAAACTTAATTAATTCAGGGGCACCATATTAATACATCAGATTTCATCAGCACATTACTATTAATTCAATCTTTGACAGTTTATATTTTATTTATTTTTAATATATTACAAAAGTATATTTTACAAACCTATTGAATAAACAGTGATTTACATTGTTGAACTGCTCTTACAATTATTTAATTAACTATTTTCAAGAATTTTAATTATACTATCAATAATGTTTAAACTAACCCAATTTATAAGCTGAATATGCTTTAATGTCGAGTGCTTTCTCTATCATATCTGCATCTGCTGTATTTCTATCATTACGAAACCTTTTCAGAGCCTCATCCAGCCAAGAATAAGTATGATGAAAATCATTTCTCAAGTATGATTGTATTCCCAATATATAGCAATCATAAGCTGAAAATTGTTAAAAATAAAACTCAGTTTAGTGATTCATCTATACGAAATAACACAGGGAACATGCATTGGAGTACTGTAAAGAGGGTAAAGGGAACTTTAAGAAATTAAAGTTTAGAAAGTTTTAGAGAATAAGTAATAATTTCATGGTTTATTTCAATGTATGGTATATTTTATGGTTTTCAACCTATGGTCTAAGATTCCAACTAAGATGCAACACCCTACTAAGAAAGACTAAACTCATCTGTATAAAATACTTATCCATCTGTTATTATTATATTAATAATAAAATATAGGAACAGCAATCATTCTAGAGGAAAGTTCTGTGTTGGATACTTGGTGCAGTAAGGACTCACTAAATTTGGTTAGGATAGTTTCCATTGTTTAGCCAAGACATATAGGAAACAAAATAATGTTAATTTTTTTTCTTTCTTATATAGTTTTTTGAGTTTTCTTTTATTTGTTATTTTTGAATCCAGGATTTTACCAAAATTATTTCAAATTAACTTGAAGATATTGGCATGGAAATAATTGATCATAGTTCTAATTTAAGAAGTTAGTCCGAGAAAGTAGAGGGGAGAGGAGGGTACTATTAACATTTACACAGTATATGCTGTAGTAATATTTATCCGAGTGGCCTATGCTTATTTTTTAAGAAATAAAATTTTAAACAATGTTCTCTTTGAAAAAAAAAATGCAGTAAAATTATCATTTAAATAAGAAAAAAATAAAAATAGACCTCTCTTTTGAGGCCTTGTTACGAACTTGAGACCAGTTGTGAAATTCGATTAAATCATTTCTGACAAGACAATGTTCTTGACATTTAAATTACCTATATATTTTATAATGTCAGTTTCATTTCCTTTTTTAAATTAGTAAAAAGAAATAAATTAAAAACTATTAATAATTTAAGTAAAAAATGTATAAGTAAATTGACAGATACTATTACCTGATAGATGTGAGGGATATTGAATACCATTCATAACGCCATCTGCTAGAGAGGTTATTTCAATGTTGTATATATCAGAAATTAAGTTTATAGCATCTGCTGTCCCACTCAGGTCTTCATTAGTTGGAAAATCATTAGAGATTTGAAGTTCAGTTATATTATCTCTAGTCTCTGTAATTTATGATATTATCCAATTAAAGATTACAATATAATAGTTTACATATTTACTATTATTTTTTATTTTCTGGCTCTATCCTGCAGAAAGATTGGCAACACCTTTATCTTAACCACTATCATTAAATTTAATTGATTTAAAAAATTCAAATTTCTTTTTTATGGAATCGCTGTTTGCCATTATGTGCATTTATGACATATTTTTTTTTCAAAATTGTGACCAAGTCATTGGACTAGTGCATATTTCACCAGCCCTATTTTAAAAGTTCTCCCAATCATTTTTTGTATTAATTAATACCTTTAAACAATATTAAATGTATTTTAGTTATATATGCTTGTGAACGAACAACTATATTTTGAGAGTTCCAATAAAATTATTTTTATTAAAATAAATGTTGGTTAAATAATGAATGCCTGGATAATCAATTATAATAATATTAATGATTTTAAACAGCAAACACAAACATGTGTCTACCCTTATGGGGCTTTTTTCTTCTATATTTGTTAATGAAGATACATTTTAATATAATTTTCTATTGTTTTCAAAATGATTTAGGCATACATCATATTTAATTTAACATGCCTGATTTGGATTGTTCAGATAAAGCTCCTGCTGGTTTAGCTCGACTTTACTGTTCTTCTTCAGGGCACAATAAAACAGGTAAGTTTAACCTCAAATACTATTAATATTACATTATTAATTAAACAGTTTATTGTTACAGTGTGTATGCTTTCATGTCCTAGATTGTATATACACTTAACAATGTTTATCTAACTAACAGGTCACAGATTTCTCATTTTTATTCATTTCTTTACATTATGTAAAAATTTCTAGATGCAAAAAAGATTTTTTAAATTTATGTTATTAGTATACACTATATTTTGTATACTTATGAATATAATAAATAAATCTACTTTATTTGAACATTCTTAAAATTATACCTTGTAATAATCTATCTGACAATACATTTTCCACTGCAGCCCATTCCACTAGAATCCTTTTAACAAGATGAAAACTGATAAATGGATCATTTTCATAAATTGTTGTATTCTTGTGTTCCTTTTCTAGCTTTTCGATCTGTCTGTAATTTGAATTTTTCACCAGCTTAGAATATTATTTCACATTAAATTATTTATAATATATATATACAATATCAGTTTAAAAAAAAGAAAGAATATATATACATACACACACATGAAATACCTCAATAAATTTGGCTTAATATGAATGAGAGTTCTAAAACGCATCATGACTACGGCTCAAATTTGATACAAGATTTAAAACGCAAAATCCTATTTATATATTTTTTTAAATTCAGCATTAAAACAGATCTATTCTGGCATTTTTATTCAGAATTTTATTTAATTTATTGAATTAATGTATGCTTTTTCACTAATTAAATAAGTGGAATAATAAATTAAATTCAAACTTAAAAAAAAAGATATTAAAAAAATGAAAACCCTCTTAATATACCAACTTGTTTGTGTTAGATGAATTAGTATTTTTGTTGATCATTGAACATTGCTAAATTGCTAACTTACAATGTGAAAAATGATTTATATTTTTGTACATACTCTATAACATATTTTTACATACTCTGTAACATATTATAGTTTTACATACTCTAGACATATTTTTGCAGAAGAATTGGAATAGTTGAATAAACGATATGCCAATGCATCAATCAAGACTAGAGAATTTAATGAATATTAGACAAATGGAAAAAGCAGAGTGACGGCAAGTGCTAACAACACCATTGTTGTTAGCATGTTAAAGTGTTAAATCTTTATTTTGTAACAGGAGGGTAGGAATTTAAAGGAGCTTAACCATACAGGTGGCTCTTGTAGGATCGATGGTGCTGACATCTCGGTGCAACTACTAAAACTAATTCAGTTGTCGGAATTTTACTGTAGCTCCTTTTAGCTCCTAAACTCCTGTCACAGAATAAAGATTTTAAACTCCGTTTTAAACTTGGTTTTTGATTGTTAACTTAGATTAAACTTAGTTGTTTTTCCTTATATTTCATAAGTACTTATAAAAAATATACTAAATATGCAATTTAATTTAACCTTTTTATTAAAATACAAGCAGTGAATAGATATTAATATAATAAATAAGTAAATATTAATAAAAAGCATTAAAAAAAATTAATTAATTAATTTTTCAATGCTCATAAAGCCTAAAAAATAAAAAAATAAAATAAAAACTATTGAAAAAGAAACTCAATAAACTTTCAAACATGAAATTTGTTAAATTAAGTAACATTTTTAGAAAATTATTGGCAAAACTTTTAATATAAAATAGATTATTGAGTGGACATTTATAAAAAATTATCTCGATGTAAGTAAATTTCCATTTCATGATGGTTTAATTTATACATTTAGTTCTCCAATAAATCAATTTCATACTGAAATAAAATTATTTAATAATAAAGTTAAACCACATAATAATTATTAACATACTTAGAGATGGATATATAGTTGGCTGTTGTAATTGTAATAATGAAAAATAGAATATGGAGTCAACAATCATTTTAATTAAATTTTGCTAACGTTTCAACCAAGTATATGGATCATCAATATTGTTTCATCTTTAATAATAATGATGTTATTTACTAAATTTAATTTATGAATAATGAAATATGTTCCATATCTACCAGATCTGGGCAAAAAGTATTTCAATAATTATTTTAAAATACAGTATTTGAAATAGCAAGTATTTTATGTGTTTAAAATTCAGTGTATTTTAATTATAAATCATTTAGGGCAAAAGAACAAGTAGCTGATATTATACTAATACCCGACATTCTCCTCGAAATATGAGAATAATAATATTTCAGGACCTCCCAGACCTGTATTTCATAAATTTTGGTTTCCATATTTTCTTCTTGTATATTATGTTTTGTCTTTTTTTAACTTACCTTGATAAAGAAATTTGAAATTTAAAGGGTGTCAGCTACTACAGTCTTATAATAGAGCTTTTCTTCGCCAGTAACTGACAAGTCTATACTCTCTTAAATTCAAAGAGATACTCTTAATATAAAGGTATTAAAAATGAGACCATTCTTTACTCTCTCATTAAAAATCTGCTAGTCATTTGGATTAAATATAAAGCAGAAATAGGTTTTCCTGTTACCGAAAAAAGGTTCTTGACAATGACCAGCATTTATTGATACATTTAAATCGAGAAACAAAATGAAGTTTGTTTTATAATAAGTTAATAACAAGTTTTGTTAATACCTACTTTAAAATGAGAAATATAAAATTTATTTCACATAATTACATCCATGTTCTTATTCTTATCATCTATAGCAACATTCCAAATCAAACAGTGTCAGTTACTGGTGCAACAAAACTATTCTTTTAATTTAAAATTTTATAAAATATTGATGGATTTGAAATGTGTCTAGATAAGCCAAGAAGTAATTCTATAAGATGAACACCCAGAAAAATACAAAATCATTTTTATTAACGTTTTTACACGTAAAAGTGTAAAGATATTTCCTTAACTTAATAAACCTGACATCAGCTATTGTTGCATTTATCCTAAATTGTTTATGAAAATATAACTTGATATCATATTTGCTTAATGCATTAGTTGATAGCAAATTTATCATCAGGAATATTTATGTTATAAATAACAAAAAAATGTTTTGAGAAAAAGTAATTCATATACAAAATCGCTACAGTATTTTGTATCTTAATTATAAAAAAAAAAAAAAACACAAATATAAAATACTTACCTGAGGACGATCATCCTATAATACAATGGACCAACTTTATTTGATAATATTTAAAATAAAAAAAAACAAAAACATTTTTTTGTTTTTTAGTATCTTGCAAATAAAATACAAATACTTTTTTTTTTACTTAAAAATAAAATACACTTATAAACAATCAACTTTATATTGACGTCTTTAAATGCAAAATACAAATAATATATTTTATTTTGTATTTTAAAATATTTCATTTGAAAAACTACTCATATCTAATAGCTATTTACAAAAACATTACCTCTTTAGTTCTGAAATTTGTTGCTCAGTTTTAAAAACAAAAGACCTGTATATCTGTATGATTTTGTTTTCTGTTTGCAGAAGTTTTTCCAAACCAACGACAGAAGAATATAGATCACATGAAGCAGAACAAAATAATAGGATAAAGGTCCATAGCTCCAACGACTTCATCACTGTCAAGAAATAACCTTGTTAGTAACTAGATTTTGTAAGAATAAAGTAAAATTAAAAATAGTTCAGGTTATATAGTTTAAGTAAGTTTTTAATGGTAAGCTGTTTTTTAAATTTTTCCGTGAATATAAAAAAAAAAAACTGATATTTTAATTTATTCTGCATTCTGTGCTGAATATCTTGGAAGGTGTCAACATCCATGGACGTATCCAATGGTTGGCAAGGTAAGAGAGGGCCTTCCCTCCCTCCTTACAATATAAAAAAAAAATTAAAATAAAAAAAATTGAAGTTCATATTCTTTTGATCCCTATCTGCCATAATATAATATACATTATACAATACTTTGTAAATTGGATTCAAAGCCATTTTCATCTGATTTATTTTCTTTTTTCCCACATATTTTTAATTTATATCTTACCTCCCTTCCTTGAATTTTCACCAATCATTTTCCTGTAACCACTATAAGCTTGACTACTAAGGGCTTGCAAGATTTGAGCCCCCGTCCAATACTGCTGTGGTGGGGGCTGTGCCCCCTCAACAAATTGCTATAGTATGAACTTCATGAACATATCGATCGTGTACATTACAATTCCATTACAAAGAACTTTATCTATCTACTAGCAAACATAATAGAATTTGTTTAACTGTGTCATATTTTAGATTCATAAACTCAACTAAACTGTAAAAAGAATCATCTATTAAAATACTATACTGTTTTAGTTTAAAGCACAGGCGGATCTACGGGGAGGGGCGGGGAGGCTTTCGGGCTGAAGCCTCCCCCTCCAAAATAGTAAAATATAACTATGTTTTACAGAAAAATATATTAAAAACTATCTCTTAAAGTATTCTTGTTCGTGTAATTACATTTAATAGGACATCAAGAACCACTTTAACACCATTTTATATAGGTAGTTAATTTCTTTCTTTTTTTTCAAATTAATTATCGTTGAAAAAAAATTCTTCCGGGCTGAAGCCCCCCCCAAAATTAAACTCTGGATCCGCTAGTGGTTTAAAGTATGTTGTGTGACTTAAGAATTTTTTGTCGTCAGAAAGGATTTGAAGGAACTTAATACTTGACTGAGGCGGTAAGTTTTCATATAGACATACACTTAGGATATATTACAAACAATATCTCCACACTCCTATGCCCTCACCCCTTGATCCTATAGTTTGACCACACCAATTATTTTTATAATTTGGCGCCTATTCTGGCAATAGAGAGTTTAGACCTCATATTCAAGCTCTTCTGAAGGTTTTTGACATGAGTTTTGGAGCCATTAAAAAATAGGGTCAGTGGAAAATGTTAATTTGTATCGAAAGCCAAATTTGATTTTTTGTTTACCAAAAATCGGTTTTACTACTATTAGAGTCTGCCTTCGTCCGATTGGTAAAAATTTTGATTCAAATGTATATTTAATTTTAAAAATATTTCTACAAGTTCATAAGTCCCCTTCATTTTCTATGAAAGCAAAATGACTATAAAAACACAATAACTTTCATTAATAAAAGCCGTATTGTAACATAACATAACTGATTTCTTCAACTAATTGACATTATCATTATTTACCTCCACAAATTAGGTATTTGAAAATATTAATACCAAACAGTCTTAAAGATAATTGTGGTAATTACAGCTTGTCTATTATTGATGTAGGCATAACATCAATAACGTTTGAGCAGAAAAATTATTTGATCGTTAAATCGGCTTTGATTTTTTTCCTCTAAAAAAAATGGAATCACTGTTAAAATGAAACGATCATTTAAAATTCCTCACTCTAGAGATCTCACAGAATAATTTAAGATATCTAACTAAAAAAATTCGCTTCAGCTGCTTGCCCAAAAAATCAGTACATATCTTTTAGTAAATTGATTAAACACATTTTGTACAATCATAGATCAGTGTTTTAAGCTCAAATTGTTCCAAAATACTCACGAGATCTCAATGAATATTTTGAACCATCAAACTTAAAATTTGTTTCATCCGTTCGCTTAAAAAATCGTTATCTTTTAGCGGACAATCTAAACACATAACACTCTGCCTCTTCGCTTTCAAAACATTCAGTCCGTGGCACAGACCTCTTTCTATCAAATTATTAACATTCCGCTGAAACTTCGTTAATAGCTTTATATCATCGTTACCAACAAATATTTTATTTACAAATATCCTCGGTATAGGGGCGTTTTCAATCTGTAGGTCGGTAAACTTTGTCTATTTAATTAGGTACTAAAAACTCGTAAATGTCCATTTGCTTTCCACTTGAATCATAAGATAACTTGATCACAATGTCGGCAAAAAAAAGTGGCCTTTAAAAATATTGAGCCGTTTGTCGTGACCTACACCTTCAAATTGTCAAAATAACGATGTTATGTAGGCCAAACGGCCCAATATTTTTGTAGGCCACCTTTTTTTTATAGTGTATTAATTTTTTATAAATATTAATTTGTGATCAAATTATTTTACGATCCAAGTAGAAAGCAACAAGATTATTTACGAGATTTTAGAAAATAATTAAATGGCGCCCACACGTCAAAATGGAACGACAGACCTTAAACAAGCAACTGAAAATACTGTACTCACTTTTTCCGAATCAAAATTGAAAATCATACAAAAACTCAATACATACACTTATCTGCACAAACCCATATGGACATACGCCTTCCAAATTTACGGTTCTGCAAAAAAGACACACTTACAAAAACTAGACATTCCAATCCAAAATTTTACAACTTATAACGGGAGCTCCTTGGTACGTAAACAACAAAACTTTACATAACGACTTACGACAACCAACCATCGACCAACACATACGCGATTTCTACCACTAGCGGATCCAGGATTTAATTTTGGGGGGGGGGCTTCAGCCCGAAACCTTTTTTTTTCATAAAAATAACGATAATTACTTTGGAAAAATAGAAAGAAACTAACTACCTATATGAAATGGTGTTTAAGTTATTCCTTAAGTACTTTTAAATGTAATTACACGAACAATAATACTTTAAGAGGTATTTTTTAATTTTCTTTTCCCATAAAACATGGTTATATTTTTCCATTTTGGGGGGGCTTCAGCCCGAAAGCCCCCCTCCCCGTAGATCCGCCCGTGATTTCTACTCCAGATTTCATCTTAAATTACACGGCCATCACAACGTACTTATTAACGACATGGCCATCAGGAGACTACTAAAGAGGAGCTGGATGAGAGATCTCCTTTCTTGAATTAAGGAAATAAATCAAGACCAGGAAAAAGTGCCGCTGGGTACTATTTTTTTCCTCATGCCTAAAATGTCTATTTTTCGGATTATTCACAGGACATCTGCTTTTTGTCAAGCTCATGACAGGTGCGGATCGAAATATGAAGACAAAAAAAAAAAAAAAAAAAAAAAAAAAAAAAAAAAAAAAAAAAAAAAATTTAATAGACTAAGTTTCCGATCTCCATATTGAAAACGCACCAATCACGAGAATATTCGTAAATAAAATATTTGTAGATTACGATGAGATGAAGCTATTTACGAAATCTTAGGTGGATGTTAATAATTTGATAAAATGGGTTCTGTACCACAAACTATCAGGAATTCTCAGTTAACAATTTGAGATATCAAAATTAAAAATCGATTCACCTGTTCTTTCATAAAATCGTTACATAGCCTTTAGCATATTGATTGAACACATTTTATTTAATCACGGATTAGTATTTTTAGTTGAAATTATTTCAAAAGATTCAGGGGACCTCGCTTATTTTAAATTTAGAGGAAAGAGTTTAGCTGGAGAATGTTGGCGTCAGGAAAACAGAAAGCAAAAACAATATTATTGAAAGCAGAGATGGGAAAATGCTACTCTGATTACTGAGTACCAATTATTTTATTCAAATACTGACCTTTTGGTTTATTATTTTCGACAATGAACCATTGTAATCGAACAAAAAATTAAAAAACTTAACCTCCTCTCAAAATTTGAGGTTTTACGTTTTAGGATGCATAGAATTCGAAAAACTAATAAACAATTTTTTGTCCGTCCGACGTCCGCGCATTTTCTCCGAAACTATTAGACCGATTTTTTTCAAATTAGTCTTTAAAATCAGAGGCCACCCGAGGATGATCCTCCTTCATCGACATTTCTATCCGTCTTTTACTTTCAAGATGGCGACTGAAAAACCTGCGTTGCTATAGACTGTAACGCTTAAACAAATGGACCGATTTCAATGGAACTTCGCTAAAGTTTTATTATATTTTTTATAAATTTGTCTATATAATATACTTCAACGAAAAGAAGCTGGGAAAGTTACGAGAGATGCTATAATTTAATTTGTCAATATTGTGATAAGATGTTTCAATGGTATTTTTTTTTTTTTTTTCCTCTTTATTTTTTAATTCACAACTGTCAATGTCCACTGACAACCAGTGAATGAGATAACTGTACAAATAGACTAGGAGAAAGGGCATGATAGGCATGAGGAAGAGAAAACCCAGTGGAACAATGGTATTTAAATTTTCTAAATAATGAAGAAAGTTTCATTGAAATCAAAACACTATTAGTAAAGATATCGCGATTTTAAAATATTTTTGGTTTATTGTATATGCTTATTTAAAAATTTACGGAATAACATAAAGAACAAAAAAAAAAAATCGTTAAAATCGGATTATTAAGAGCAAAGATATGGGCTCTAGATGTTTTTTATATATTACACTGCAAAGGTTATATCCTTTGTTTTGGTTTTTGGTTTTTGAATGTTTTACTGAGTAATGCTAATTTATTTTAGTATATTGATTAAAAAAAATCGGAAAATTATTAGCAAAGATATGGTCTCCAGTTTTTTTTATATGTTCTACTCTAAATGTTATATCCTTTGTTTGTTTTTTTAAATTTTGAATGTGTTACTGAAGTAATGCTAATTATTTTAGCATATTACTAATGATTAAAAAAAAATTTTTTAGTCGAATAATCGGAATCCCTTCTTTAATTCTTTTTCTTTGTTACTAGGAAGGTAATTTTACTTTAGATATAT